ATTTTCAGGTGAACGATGCTGGAGGCAGGCAAGCCGGTTGACTCCGATAGCTTTCTGGAGCTTCTGTGGGAAGAAATGTTTTGTGATCTCACCTCTATTGGGCTTATCTCTAATTTTAAGGTAATGATGCCCTGGTTTTGGGTTCCCTCTGACAGCAGGGAAAAGTCATCCTCCATTTAGCTCATCAAGAAATGACTGGGGTTGTGGAATGACCTGGTGTCGAGGAATATTGCTGGTCAATATAACCTTGGCAATCTTTAGAACCTGGGATGGCCGTTGTCTGGAAAATGGCTCCTCATGCTGGTTTTCAAGCCAATGGTATCGGATAATTATAATAATAATATAATACTAATCCTTGCATTATATATAGATATATATGATGGAGCAAGCAAGTGGACCCTCCTCCAATTTATCAAGTTTGATAAGAGTTGGGAATCAAGGGATAGGCTTGAATTGGTCAAACTTAAAGGTGGCAAGAAAACAATAAATATGGAAGGGGAAAATATTTCTAGAATAGGAGAACGGCATTTAAACAAGTGCCAGTTATTCAAAAGGAGTCCTGTAGCGTATTGGTTAGAGCATCTGCCTTTCAAGCATGAGGACCAGATTTGATTGCCGGGCAGGGTGAAACTTTAGCCAAGGTTCCTTACTCTTCACCCCTTTGTTTACCTAGCAGTAAGTAGGAACTGCTTAGACAATTGGCGGATCGCTTTCTGGGGGTAAAAAGAAATTTGGTAACTCAATCCACTACTGTTTGTGATACACCTCCCTGCTTTCCCCACAAAATATACATCTGTGAAGCGCTTTGAGACGTCTCAATGATGTGATAAGACGCTATATCAAATGCAAGGATCATTATTATTATTAAGTGTTGTTCTGAAGTTCCCTCACTGGTTGAGCATAAAAGCACACTAGGGGTGGTTGCTGGGAGCGGGAGAACAGAGAAGCCAAATAGATGAGGTCTTATTTTAGGGGACATCAGAGAAGGAATTTGGAAGAAGGCTCCAGGAAAAAAAAACACACTAAAGGGACAATGGGCCTTTAAGAGATCTCCCAGTAAAATATATTTGCACAAATTAAACTATATTACTAACAACAAACTCGCAACTAAATTTCCTGCCCGTCGGTCTTGACACTGAGCATGTAGTCATGGAGAATAATAGGCTCAGTGTTTCACCTCCAGCAACTGCCTTCAGTGAAATGTTAGAATAATAGAGAATCTCGTCGTCTATTTTCACAAGCGTTTGACAACTCGGGAGCAGCCAGATCTACACATCATTGGATATGTTCGGCTTTGTTGGTGGGAGGCCAGCAGAGGAAGCCGCTCTGTTAAACAAGTGTGTGCCGGGTCACAGGGAGAGCTGCACCTTAACACATTTACAGGGAACATTGAGAATGTGCGTGGGGCAGCGGAGTTGCTCGAGCCATTCATTTTGCAGCTGTTTGTGGAGCTTTGCTGGGCACAAACTGAGTGCCTACAAAACCCAGTGAATATACGGCAGTAATAATCCTTGCATTTGATTCTAGCCCTTGTAGACACGTCTCAAAGCGTGGTTTTACTACAAAGTGTACTGACTGTGTATTTTGCAGGCAAGCATGGCAGCCAATTTCCCACAATTTCCCACAAACAGCAATGAAGTAAATGATCGATTTTTGTTGGCCGCCACACCAGGAGAGAGAAGATCCCTTCGTTTTTCGAGTAGTGCCATGGGATTTTTAATGTCCACCTGAACCGGACTCATGTGATGGATGCACAGCAAACTGGGAAGCGCTGTGAGGTGTAAACAGGCACAATATTACACGCAAGGATTTTTTTCTTATTACTATGACGAGTAATAAACCGCCACCCATATTCTCACCCACACTAAACTCCGTACTCTCGTCACACCTGATCTTGCCAGGCTCCACTGACTCCCTATCACAGAATGGATGGATTTCAAGATCCTGTCACCTGTCTACAAATCCCTTCACTCCCTGGCACACCTCCATACCTATCTGAGCTGCTTTCTAACCACTCCACTACCTGCTGCCTCCGCTCGGCTGGCTCTGGCCTCCTATTGTCCCTTGTCCCCTCTGCTCCACCATTGCGGGTGCGCTTTCAGCCACCACACCCCAAAGCTTTGGAACTCTCTCCCCCAATCCCTCCACCTTGCCTCCTCCTTCTACTCTTTTAGATCACAACTGAAGACCTTCCTCTTCGTCCGTGCTTACGGTCGCCTACTCGATCCTCCCCCAGCTCAGCATCAAGCTCCATCACTATTAAGCGCACTGAGACACTGCCCGCCGTAAAGAAGGGGGCTATGTAAATGCAAGTTGTTGTTGTAGTAAACTCCTTGAGTATCAGGGTGTTGGGTGGGACAGTTAACCCCGTGAGTACCAACTCCTAAGTTTGTGGGAGAAATGCCCTGTTTGTGGCAGCTGATGCTGCTCAGATATGGAACTGACCTGAAATTTGTCACATTAAGTTAACACTGAATCCAAGCTACAGATTAAGGAGATTGGAATCAGGTTTAGTTGCTCGCAGGTATTTTAACAATTTGACAGTAAAACCAAAAGGGGTACTCGATACTTTTCAAAAGAAAAACGAATTGTATACCCTGCCCAAATTTCCTTTGAAAGATCAGGTTACCAGTTCAGCTGCAAGTAAAAGGAAATTGATGCAAACTGGTTAATATTTATGGAGTGTAGCTTTGATGCATTGTTTCTGTGCATTTGAGTAAGAAAAATGAAGACCTGTGTTTGTGGCCGTCGCAGTAAGAGACAAAACTCTGGGTTAAACTGGTTCAGTTGGTAGCACTCTTACCTCAGAGTCAGAAGACTGTGGGTTCAATCCTCGCGTTGGGACTTGGAACCCACATAGTCCACACTGTCACTCCAGTGCAGAGTTGGGGATGGGCTACATTGTCGGAGGTGCTGTCCTTCGGAGATGTGAAGCTGTGGTCCCATATGCCTGGTCAAGTGGATGTTAAAGATCCCACTGCGCTATTCTGTAATAGTAGTAGGTAATCTGAAACTGAAAAGACTGACTGTGTTGGAGTGTTGTGAATCTTCCAGTGTGTTTTGGTAACAACCTGATTTTGTCTTCTGTTATTAGACAGCGGCCAGATCTGATACAATCATATAGCTTGGGCAAGCTTCCTTACTCCACACAACTCTGGTTACCTAACAGTAAGTAGGAACCCGCTTGTTAGTGAATTGTCAGATCGCTTTTCGGGGATAATAATCTCCTTCAAAATAAATAATAATAATAATGTCCTCATTTGATCCACGATTGTACATGGGGCATTGCTGTGCACAATTGGCTGCCGTGTTTCTCCTACAAAACACACAGTCAATTCACTTTACAGTATATTGTATGAAGCACTTTGAGATGTGTCAACAACGTGATAAGGTGCCATATCAAATGCACAGATTATTATTATTATTTTGCAGGGCCTCTAGGGTTCCCTCACACAAGTCAACTTTTCAATCCACATCTTTCCATTCTAAGCGGGGGCAGAAACGTTGACTAGTGGTTGCTAACAGTGTCTCTTAACCCTTCCCCACCCCCCATCTCAGTTTAGCAACGATAAAATAAATACCCTTGTACAAACATGATTCAAGCTTACACAGAAATCATTGACGCAAACTGTGCTGGGATCTGGATGAGTCACCTGCTAAATGGCAGCTCTTCTGATCTCTAACCTCTGGTTCAGAGGGTTGTGGATTCAAGCCCCGACCAGGACATGAGCTCACTATCTCTGTTGGCTCTGGTTTGGTCTTCTCAGCAGCTGCCGGTGGTGCTGAAAACCTTGTCTGGATCGCCACCATGTGGCATTACATGGTATTTCTCAATACGATTGAAAGCTTGGACTTTGTAACAAGTTATTCCGTTGCCGAGCAGCAATAAAGCTCATTTATAATAATCCTTGCATTTTGTGTATTGACGGATCAAAGCCCACTTCGAACCTAGCTGGGCAATTGAGCAAAAATGGTTTTAAAACAAGCGGCAGGATGACACAATGGGGTCAAAGTCCCATGTCGGGCCTTTTTAGAGCTCACATTCCAGACTGACGCTCTTGTGCAGTGCCAGAGGAACCCTGCATTATCGGAGGTGCCATCTTTCAGCTAAGATGTTAAACCAAGGTCCCATCTGTCTGTTCAGCTGGATGTTAAAGATCATACAAGAAAACTTGAAAAGGGGAGTTTCTCCCAGTGCCCTGGTCAAGAATCTCCCAGATAAAATTGGTCATTTATTTCATGACCGTCTGTGAGACATTGCTGCAATCAGATTGGCTGCCATGTTCACCTACGTCTCATCCAAAGAACGGCACCTCTGACAATGTATGGAGCACTGCACTGGAGTGTCAACCAGAGCACAAAATCCCTGACTTTGGGGTTCAAACCCACAATTGTCTGACAAGAGACGAGAGCGCTACCAACTCAGCCATGCTAGCATTTGAAATACATTCGCAGCAGTCGTTGGACACCATTACTGCAAGACGAAGCAAAGCCTTCAACTTGTTTTGACTGCAACTTATGATTCATAATCTTTTGTTCTTGTCTCTTAAGATCCATAAAGCATCATCAGACACTAAGAGGGATCTTGTTCATCAACAGAAACCAAGTGAATTGCTCAGGGTAAGACAAAGCTTCTCATTGTTACAGCTGTGTGATCAATTGGTTTTTTTGGCCTTGTGCTGTGCTGGGCCATGTATTTATCCACAAGGAGAAGTTGCAATGATTGTCAATGTCTTTTTGAATCAGCACAAATGCCTCAGTATAATCTCTCAACCGAAGGTTTGGTACCCACATTGATGTCTTGAGAAATTCAAACTATCGATTGCCATTCATCAAAAGCTTTCCGAGTTAACTTTTTATGTTTCTAATAATGTGAGGCTCGTTATTGGCATCCAGTCTGTGGAATCCGTGGAAAGGTAAGTCCAGGGTCGGGGCAATGAATCTTTTGACATTGGTTCTCGGGAATCGAATCATTGGGAAGGAATTGCACGGTTCATAAAAAGATACTTATTTAATTCTTGTCATGTGTTACAAACCGTCAAAAGTACAAAAGGGAATAACAGAACTTTACAAGTACCAGTGGCGGAAACTCATTAATCACATAGATATTGAGTATTCAAACAAGCAAACTTGTGTTAAATCTGTAAGTCTCTTGAATATTATCCAGCATTCTGCATCATATTATAAATATAATACTGGTAAATTTTGTAAAAGTAGTTCCTACAAAAAACAGGTCTAAACTGCGGTATTTCTTAATGGGATTCCTTATCAAGAAATCTCCTCAGATATCTGATGATATCCTCATCAGAGCCCCCACTTGTGAGATGCTAATTTATTGTTTAGGAAACCCTTGAGAAATAGCGCAAATTAAGACTCCGCTGTGATAAATTGTTGCTGAAAGTGGTAAAGCTAATGAGTTTGTTGTATTTTAGTGCCTATATTACAAACATTAGCTGATGGAATACACGTCATTCCGATATATCCTCATGTTAATACCCCCCACCACCAAACCATGATAAATTGCCATACTGTTTTTGTTCAGTGATTTCAATGTAAGATGGCACTCGTTTCAAATTAGAGCAACTTGCTGTTTGTACAGTGTACAATGGTGGGAAGAATGGAGAGGTGATTGGAAGCATTCGTTAGAGAGGAGATTGTTGAAAGCAGTGAGCGACGCATTGAGCTGCATTAGGATTAATGCAGTGCATCAAGGAATCACTGTCTGTGCAAATAAATCGCATAAAATCCGCCCTCAAAACTCTTGACGCAAAAATGTACCCGATTAAAGCTTTAAAATTCACAGAATTTTAAGTGTCAGTTACAACAATTTATATTGAGGGACTACGTACGCATGGGAAACCTTCAGTGAGCACAGTGCATGTGATCAGCCTATTTCAGACATGAACACTTCAGCTGTATTTAGCTCAGTGTCGCACAAAGTGTGGGAACTGTTATTGAATTAGCGGAATATGCAGGAACTTTGATTAATGTTTGCACGGAGCGCACCGACTTAAAGGGCTATTTTTGTAAATGAGTTCAGTGTTCGCGAGCTGCTCAACCCGTGTGATGCTGTGCACGACGTGGCTGCCGTTCTCGTTCCTTAAGTTCTGACTGAGAGCTGGATGCCGAAATCCCAGCATTGTTTCTTCCTCCTGGGAGAGTGCGTACGGTTCCTTCCTCGATCAAGGGTCCTTTCTAGCGTGGCCTTTCATTGAGTGCAACACGACCTCTCTGCACCCTTCAGAGCATCGCCTTCGCTCTGGAGTCTCCCCCATTACCGCTGGTCAGGTCGTTGAAGGCTCTGTAGAATTTCCAACACCACTTTGTAGCAGAACAGGTACTGATCCTGTACATTAAATGCAAAGAGTTTGTCATTTGCTTCCAAAGTGGTAAGCAGTCATTGTGAGAGAAGGGAGCAATGCTTTATTGGTCAAAGAATAAATGTTAACCATCTCAAGAACTAGGGATAAAAAGGAAGCTAATTTGTATGCCATCAAACCACTGATATAATGGGGTTTGACTGTACTCGTGCTTTTATTGATTGGGATTTACAGGAGAAAATCTTTGTGATTCCTAGTTGCATACCATCCTAGGTGGGGAGTTCAACCAATTTCAAGGAGAGTACAATACAAGTTACACCTATATAGTGCCTTGTACAACAGGGGTGGTGGTGGGTGGGCGGACTGACGGGGGTACATGTCAAAGCACTTGACACTTCTGCCTGGGCACTGGACCTGAGGAGAGGAAAGATGATAAAAAGCATGATCAAAGAGGTACATATTGAGGTGTACTTTGAGAGAGGGGAGGCAGGTAGTAAGTCGGAGAGAATGGAGCTCTGGAGAGCGGAGGCCAATTGGTTGAAAGCCCACCCATAGCTAGGAGTGCAGGGAGCCGGGGCGTGGAGTTGGCCAATGTTGGTCAAACTAAGGGAATAGCTGGGTTGGTAAGGCTGAAGGAGGAAGCAGAGGTAGGGTGGGTCATACTGTGAGGGAATCACAAAGAAGGAATCACCTTGGTTTGTATCATTCCATGACGCTGTTTCCTCATTTCCCTCACGATAGCCATGATCTCAAACTGCGAACAGATAAGACATTATTGGTAATTGACAAATGATGTATTTACCGCCACAACTGTGTTGCTTTATACGCATGTGTGTGTGAGTGTGTGGGATGGGGTGGGTGGGGGGAGAAAAACTCTCAGTCGAGTTTAAATTTGTTCAAAGGTCTTAGAATGCCAGAGCATCCAAAGGTTAGACGGATCGTTGAGTTCTATATCATCTTAGAAGACAGTTTTCTCCAGTTCACTGTAAAGAACTTGCAGAAAAAACAGCTTCAAAATTAGAAGAATTTCCCAGACTCTGCTTGCTCTGAAGTGCTTTGTTTGGCTGGCCATCCATCACACTCAGCAGACGGTCTGCCATGTTTGCCTACAAAACACACAGTCACTACACTTGACCGTAAATCATTCGCTGGGGGTAGGCGAACAAAGTGGGTAAAACTCCACATAGTCAATTAGCCAAAATACACCAGGAGAAGTAAAGGTGCCCTATTTTGCATGATTTCTTAACTTAGAAATTCGAAAGGGAATTACTTCTGGTGATTGTGCACAACGGAAACACAAGCCCTTTTTTTTTGCCCCCATCCTGCTACGATGAACCAAAGAGAGACGGAGGAGGTCATTATCGGGCCATAAATTATTATTATTATGTTTCTCGTGACAGGTTCTCACGCTGTTATTCACAGTGGTGTTGTCTCTGACTCAGCCCCCTGTTTTATCAGTGGACACTTCAAGCCATGAGCTGGTGTAATTGGAATGCTAAGCATACAGTGGCCAAGCCAACAATGTAAGGAAGGGAAGGGGGAGGGGGTCAGTGACCCTATTTATATGAAGTTAATTATGTCGATTCCTTCCTCAACTGTTTTGAATGTAGTTGCCAAGTCGGGAAACTAATTGTTCCAGCCTGTCGGGATGCTTGTGACCAGATTGCGGACTCATTTTGGAATCTTCTAGGAATGTTCAGCTGGAAAAGACCCACTGACATTTACTGGAGGTAGAAAACACACCATATTGTACTTGATCTCTGATACATTGATACAATTTCTCGCAATGCTGTGTTTACTTCCTAATTAACTTTTCTGAATTTAGGTGAATTGACTGTATGTTTTTGTGGAAGTTCTGCCCACAAAATAAACAGTCAATTCACTTTACAGTGCATTCTGTGAAGCACTTTGAGACGCCTCAACGACATGATATGTCGCTGTATCAAATGCAAAGATTATTTTTGTTATTCATACTCAGAATGAGGCCGCTTTGCTTCAAGTGCTGTAGTCAAATGACAATGGAAGAGTAAAAGAGAAGGGGAGAGAGAGAGAGAGAGGGGGGGAAGAGGGAGGAAGAAAAGAGGCGAGAGAGAAGGACCAATCTGTTGAAGGAGGAACATATGGCATTGAGAGGTCTGGTTAGTCTTCCCATTGAACAGTGGAACATTGTGTGCGCGTAGGAGGAAAGAAAATATTCTGGGAAAAAAGCACTCCCAGGACCACTTGACTTTCACTTACACTGAGATTTTTGTCAATCAGGCTTAATAGCACATCTGTACAGATGAGCACTCCAGCTCTTCCAATCCCTGCACTGCAGTGAACTACCACTGGCCCCAAGCGGTGGACGTGCCTCATGTACAGAATGAACCGCACAAGTTGCTCTGAAGACTGAGGAGTGCCGTGGTCGGACCACGTTACAAAATGTAGGTGTTTAATGTCACGTGCTTCTCCGGTCTGAAACAGAGAGGAAATACGCAAGAAAGAAATGCTGTCGACATCTTTATAAGGTGGATTGGTCACTCAATCCACGACTGTTTGTGGGACACTGCTGTACGCAATTGGCTGCTATGTTTCACCCCCAAAATACAGTCAATTCACTTTACAATATATTCTGCGAAGCGCTTTGAGACGTCTCAATGACATGATGAGTAAGGCACTATACAAATGCAACGATTATTATTATTATTAAGAATAAAGTCGTACGTAAAGCATCACAGAATGACACCGAGCTAGTTGGCCCATCAAGTGTAGTGACTATTATTATTCAAAAAATGCACAATGTTTTTGACGGTCCAAAATCACAAGCGAAAGAAAAATTGTATAAGCTTTTCGTTGATTTTTGATCCGCCCGCCAAAATATACAGTCGATCCATTTTACAGTGTATTCCGTGAAGCGCTTTGAGACGTCTCGAAGATATGATCAGGCGCTACATCAAATGCAAGGATTATTCTTATTATTATTTGAATCTAGAATATATTATGTCAATTGTATGAAATGACCAACCTCATTGTCAACCAACTTCAAGGACTTCACGTTGAAGGAATCCAGTGCTTGGTCATTTTCTAGCCTCAGCTGATACTTGCCGACCATCATTGGCTGTGAGGCTGTGTCAGGCCAGTATCGGTGACATTTTACCTTTCCCCTCTCGTGTTCACGGGTCATCATAGCAATGAGTGTGGCTTTGCTCTCCCAGATCATTTGCCAGAAGTCACTTGTTGTGCCTGGCAGAGGGCCCTGGCAAGCAATGTATAAACGCTTTGTGGCACCAACTGGCATCTGGATGTAGCTGGCGTTGATATAGTCGTGGTCACCAATGTGGACACGAGTTTCATCATCTGCAGTGTTTATTTGAGGCCGAGGGGAGAATGAAGGAGGAGGAAAAAGAGATTATTGTTTGATTATTAAAGCTCGCTGGGGCTCCCCTCCAATCTCGTGCCTTTCCACAGTAAAACGCACCTGTCGTGATCAGAGAGCCCAGTTTAATTCATCCTGATTCTGCCTTCAACATTGCTGCCCAATTCCAATTCTTCCCCCCCACCCCATCCACAAATATCTCCCTCCACACCATTTGTTGAATGTTTGTCGTATTGAACGTCAGTGTTGGGAGGATTATTTGCTGCCGTTCCCCACTTTCATGATCTAGTGTCAGTATCAGACACTACCAGGTCCCATACTGCAGTGGCTGGATACCCAGTAGAATCCATTGAATGGGGACATTGAGCTTGAGGTCTCAGCCTACACTTCACCACTCCATTGTGTGTGTAGCCGGGAGGTGGGGGGATTCGGGAGGTGCACTGCATTATCGGATGTTGAATAAAATCTCGTCTGCCTGTTCAGGTGTTCCTCAGCTCCAACCTCAGAGGAGCACAATCAGCAAAGTCGATTCCCACATCATCTCTCCTCTACCCTCTTCGAGGAGAATGTGTCAATCGTTGCCAAACTGCAGGCAGGACTGTGCCGTGCTCTTTGTGTATCCAATCAGCGGTTTTGATGGTCTTTCACGAGTGTAAAAGGTAATTTTGTTTGACAAATGAAAAGTAAATGGGCATTGATAAATGAGGTTTCCTGCTCCCCAATAAGTTTGGTCACAGATTTGTTGAAACTACTTACAGGGAAGGATATCTCTGTATCTGTTCTTTTCCCTGTTTTCCGGAGCTTTTCCCACCAGACAGTCATCAATCGGTTGCAGATGTTCCAAAGCCTTTAAAGAGAGACGTGTCTAATATCATTCACTATCTCTCTATCAACGCAAAGCTCCTCCAAGTTACTGTGAAAAGGTTAATGGGTAAAAGCTCTAACTTGACAAGTAGGTGTCAGCCAGGTGTTAGCTGATTCACCTCATGGCTGATTCTGGAACCTTACTGGCTGCTGTCTTTGCCTACAAAGACTAGTCATTATACAGGGTGATGATGATAATAATAATAACCCTTGCCTTTGGTATAGCTCCTTTCGCCAGAGGATGTCCCAAAGTGCTTCACTGGATACACTGTAAAGTGGAGTGACTGTGTGTTTTGTACGCGAATGATGTTGGAAATTACCTGTGAAGCGCTGTGTGACGTTCTGACATAAGGTGCTATAGAAATGTTAGCTCTTATTTGCTCCGATAATGCTTGTGTCAGGGAGAAAGACATGGAGGTCAAGGGAACAGTTTCCAGAGGTTTTTCTGCAATTACCATGAATTCTTTGAGTGGCTGTTGCTCTTCCAGCTGTTGTCGGAGGGTTTCAATGAGCACCTTGAGGCTGCTTCCAGAGTACTGACTGCCTTCTGGAGGGGTCACCACTGACAGGCTCATCAGCTCCTCCTCAGTCACTACAGGTCTACCTGATTGGGACACAGAAAATGCACAGAGGGAATTGCAAAGAAGTAGAAATACAATACAGTAGAAGTCACATTGACGCAGCGTCTTTCATGTTTGGGAGGAAGTCTCAAAGAGCTTCACAGTGCTGGGGTGGGGGAGGGCGGTTGAGGTTGGAGCGCAGTCAAAGAGGTACGTTTTGAGACGTGCCTTGAAAGAGGAGGGAGAGGGTTCGGGGAGGGGGAAACTCCAGGATGGAATTCCAGAGAGCAGGGCAGAATGACTGAAAGCCTATCCGCTGACGCTGGGGAAGAGAGGGGAGAAACATGAAATAGGCCCGTGCGGTACTGGGGTGACTGTTGCATTATCGTAAGTGCTGTCTGTCATTTGGGTGAGACATTAAACCGAGGCCCCCTTCGCTTCTTCAGGTGCTCGTAGCAGATTGCGTCTAAAAGTGTCATAAATTCAGACCCGGGGGAATCTCACTGCGATTGCTCAAAAGGCTTGTGGTTTCCAAACTGACCTGTAGGTGGTGCGGTTGCTCTGCAAGAAGAGCGAGGAGGGTCATCATCGCTGCTCCAGCCATCGGAATTATAATCTTCCTTAATGCCTCGTCCGTTCTCTGGCTTGTCAGCTTGAGGCTGTCCTGCTGACTGGTGCTGTGCTACCTGCTCATGGCTGACTGAGGATGATGAGCTTTAAAATGAGAAGGAAGTAATGAGTGGGTGGGTGTTCCTTCCACTTTTAGGATAAATGGCTTGATTGGAGGAGCAAAACCAACTCTAATAAAATGAGTCAAATGTGCCCCAGATTTCCATGGCTCTATTGAAAGGAACGAAGGAACAGGAGGAGGGCATTTACCCATTGAACCTCGGGATGTCTTGGGACATCCTTAGGACGTCCTCCCGACGTGAAAGGTGCTATACAAATGTAATCTTGTTGTTTATTGCACGACGACGGAAGGTCTAATTCATCTCCCCCAGCTATCTATTAAACATCCCAAGTGATTCTACTTGTGTGGCCTTTAGGGGCAGTATATTCCACTAAATATAACCACCCTTTTGGCTTGAGGTGGAATTTGCATTTAGAGGGTTGCAATCCCTGGATTTTGGGAGCACAATTACCATCCGGGTTCCCACGAGAAAGTCAGTTTAACCCCTGGTGTATGGGGTCGCTGCTTCACCTTCAGCATTTACTGAGTTAACACTGGGGTTAAGAGGGATTCAGAACACAATACAGTTTACACCAAAACTTCACATTGGGAAGATGGAACATGCCTCGGCTCTTGAGAGAACCCAATTAAACAAACCACCCAACTTTGAATGGTCAGCTACGTGGTGGGTTTCAAGAGCATTGAAATTACCTAAGGGCGGTGAGATAGTTATTGACATTTGGTGGAATGAAACAAGTGGAGATGCATATCCCACGGTGACAATGGCATCAAACACAGACCAGGACCATCAGTCCGATGCTGGTTGTAATATCTTGCCCATGCTATTTTGCTCACGGGTTGTTCTATCGTGCAAAAAATATCTTTGGTGTCTGACACGTGCGGAAACCCATCACTGTGCTTAAGAGTATCCGAACCAAATTGAGACTTCCATGCATCCCACCTACACGTGGAAATCCCAGAGATAAGATTGTTAGAATGGAATGCGCACTCTCTCTCTCTCTCTCTCTGGAGGGACACATCCTGCTTACCTAATTCCAGAAAGTATTAGGTGCAGGTCGGCAAGAGCCAAGGCTTGGGGACCCCAGAGTATGCATTTGTGTGTGTGTGAAGTATATTGAATATTAAGTATAATATGTATTGAAGTAAGTTACTGTGTGAAGTGCTCTGAGGCATCCTCCTAATATAAAGGGTGATGTATGCAAATTCTTGCTGCTTCTTCTTCGGTGATATTTTCACATTTTATATGATACATCATCACACCCTTACCTGTCGCTGTTGTTGTTCAGGCCATTTGAGCAGTGGAGGCTGGATATCTTGCTTTGCCCCTGAGTACGGAGCTTCAGATGAAAAGTATTGATCCCAGACCACTGAGGGAGGCGAGTGAGAGAGAAGTGAATACAAACACACAGTCACTTCACTCGCCGACAGGTTCCTTGCCAAGCGCTTTGAGACGTTATGACGTTTACAAGCATGGCATCAAACGTAAGGATTGACACAAGTCCTGCTATTAAGTTGTCCTTAGTTCTCAGGCTGGTTCAGTGAAAGAAACGGTCAATATAGTGGAGTCTAAAGACCCTATATAAATGCCATTTGTTGTTCCCCTCAATCTATCGCTTTTTTTTGGTCAGCCAGGTCTCTGACACGAGGCAATTTGTCACCATTATTAACGGTATCCAAAATAAAACTGAGAATTGCATTCCTCCCACCCACACATGGAAATTCCAGAGAGAGATTGTTGGAATTTTGGAATGCGCACTCTCTCCCTGGAGGAACATATCCTGCTTACCTAATTCCAGAACATGTTAGGCACAGTTTGGCAAGAGCCAAGGCTTGGGGACCCCAGAGTGTGTGTTGGGGTAACTGCTGCCGTCAAATCTTCCCTTACCTCACTGCAATCTCCAGCTCCTCCATTTCGCCCTTCGCTTTGTTGCCGTGTTGCTTTATCTGCAGGAATTAACACCCAGACAAGTCCAGAAACATTTGAATGCATCATATGGATTGAATCGCCAACAGTTTATATACAGTACTAAAAAAAACAAAATCACAGGATCGTATTTCAACGCTTGTTTGGCTTAACCCACGAATGGCTGTTTAGGAGAGGCTCCAGAGGGTGACTGGTGCTCGGGGAACTTTACCACAGCACGTCAGCGCCTTCTTTGAGGAAAGAGAACGGAACATCAAGAAGCGCTTTGGATGAGAAGTTAAGCCAAGGTCCTGCCTCTTTAGGCAGACGTTAAAGACATGCAACACTACATAGACGATTTAGGCTGAATGGCCTGTTTCCATGCTGTACAGTCTATGGATTTGCCTCAAATATAGTCATTACACTTTACATTAATATCCTGTGAAGCACTTTGAGATGTTTCAATGACGTGAAAAGGCGCCATATCAAATGGAAGAATTATTGTTGATGATAACTGGGTATAACATCTATACACTGGACACTGAGAAATTTTACCTGCTCTTTTGAAGGAAGATTTCATTTCAGGGTGATTATCTTTCTTGTGGCTGGACAGATCCCGGCTTATAATCAACCGCACGTTACCTTGAGCACTGCACAGAATCTCAACAGCCCGGCTGTGAGACAGGCCGAGTAGATTCTCTCCGTTCACCTAAAACGGAAATAATGCAATTTTATAAATCAATTGACCTGAGTTTGAATCCATCTCAATACCTTGGGATAGACTCTTCGCCTGTCAAATGACTTTGTGGTTAGGAGGACTTTGCGCTTGTGATCTAAGTTGATGCTGCAGTGCAGCGTTGGAGGGGCCGGTAGAGGGGTAGTGCTGTATTGTCCGAGATGCCATAGTTCTGGACGAGACCATAAACCAAGTTCAGGCGAGCGTTAAAGATCCTGCGACTATGACTATTCTGAAAGAGAAGGGTAGTTTCTTCTGGTGTCCAAGCCAACAAATCCTCCAGGCATTCACTTCCTGACTGAATGTGGGGCCTTGAGAAAACTCAAGTCCTTTTGAGACGTTTCTAGACAACATATGAAATGCAAAGATTATTAATATTATTAGTTTGCAATCTCTCCAGGGTTTAGGATTGAGTGCATCTGTAAGAGGCTAAAAATGACTGGTACAACATGACAGAAGGGGGTGGACCTCAGTTTGCGAGCTGTAGGAGGTCTCATCGCCTCTGGATTGGGGTGGGTGGGAGGGGCGGTGAGAATAATACAAGGCTCCTGATTGCTATCAAGGAGACTGACTGAACCAGGTTTTGCTGTGACCCTCTCTGCAGTTGAATTGCCTGTCAAAGCTCACACATGACCAAAGGCCATTAGCCATAGGGGAGCCAGCACTGTGGAACTGCACCCGAACAAGAGGAGATGAGAGACCAGCAGCAGAGAGGCATCAGAATAATAATAATAATCCTTGCATTTGATACAGCACCTTATCATGGTGTTGAGATGTTTCAAAGAGCTTCACTGTAAAGTATATAGAGTCCTGTGGAGTCCTGTAGCTCAGTGATTAGAGCGTAGTGAGAGACTTGGGTTCGATTCCTGGCAGGGCGAAATGTTGGGCAAGTTTCTTACTCTACACGCCTCTGTTTTCCTAGCAGCAAGTAGGAACTTATTAGCCGATTGGTGGATCGCTTTTCCGGGGGTAATAATTCCTTCATAAAAATTATTAAATTGGTCACTTCAATCCACGACTGTTTGTTGGACACTGCTGTGCACAGCTGGCTGCCGCATATATTTGTTTCACCCATGAATATACAATCAATTCACTTCACAGTATATTCCGTGAAGTGCTTTGAGACGTCTAAAAGACGTGAAAAACACTATATCAAATGCAAGGGTTATTATTAAAGTGGAGTATCCCACAAGTAACCATGGAGTGAGTGACCAAATTATTATTATTATTAATTATTTATATTTTTGAAGGGTTTATTAACCCTGGAAAGTGATCCAACAATCGACTAACAATTGAGTTCCTACTTACTGCTAGGTAAACAGTGGCGTGGTGGAGTAAGAAACTTGCCTAAAGTTTCGCCCTGCCCGGGAATCGAACCTGGGTCCTCTCGCTTGCAAGGCGAGTGCTCTAACCAATATGTTACAGGACCTCACATATGTCCAGTGGGTAGAAAATGAATACATTAAAAAAAAGGTTTCTAAGATTGTCTTTGAAATACTGCAGAAGTTACACGACGGCTTTTATAAAGCTCTGCGGGTGGCGGGAAGCTTGCGCACCCCCCCCTCTGACGTTACCTGCAGGAGAGAATCTCCGATTTGCAGTCTTCCATCGCGGTGTGCCACGCCGCTGGGGCTAATCGCCTTCACACGCAGAGCGCTTCCCTCGTTACCACCCACCAGCGCAAAGCCCAGACTCCCCTTCGGTGGTTTGTCCAGGTCAATTTGGATTACGCTGTTCTGCAGGGGGACAGAAAGGATTAAATTCAGTCGGTGCCTCTAGGAAAGTAGGACAGAGGTATGGCTTAAGAGTCGAGGAGTTGGATGGGAAGAGAATGATACCGCCTTGGTTACAATTTGTGCAGAAACAACAGTCATACAGAACGCCCACATCACCTACATCCTATTTTCTGAAAAGAGTAGAGAGACTGAGATTCCAGTCAGTGATGTTCACAGGTCACAAGTTGCTGCTGTTGTTGATCACAGTGTCAGCCTCCGATGGAATTTACAATGGAACCCCCATCAGAATTTCAGCTGCTGTCATTTGTACCGCAGAATGTGAGTGCAAATATTAAGTGTCATATGCACCAACAGTATGAACCACATAGAGTAACAAAACCTCCAGGTGCCGAGTGCGTTTACTCTATGTGAAGTGTATGACAATAGAATATCAGGATCGAGTCAATCTCCTGTGGTGGTTTCTTAGTCCAGTTCCTGAGGTAGGCAGGTCTGCAGTATTGCAAGGCACTGTTGATGATATATCAGCGAATCGGGCTTGTCATCAGGTCTTGGGAGGATCAGTCTACTCACTGGGGCCTGGGATACTTCTCACTTGGTACCCTCCAAAGCCCTAATGGGTAGAATGATCTTAGCCAGGTCATGTTTGCAATGGCAGGCTACGCGGTTTCTAGGCTTGTGCAAATCCCTATAATCATTCCACGATACAGTGTATCCTGTGAATCACTTTGAGAAGTCTCAATGATGTGATAGGCGCAACATCAAATGTAATCATTATTATTATATTTTAAATTGCATTTATGAAAATGGGTCACTCAGATGAGAAAGCACCCCCAACCTCCCCCCCACCCCTCCCACCCCCCCAACGCTTGATTACAAAGAAGAGCATTTTACCTTACTGTGTGAAATTGATTCGAAACGACTCTCAGATTGCTCACGCTCCTCTCGAGACTTGTTACCTTAAACAAAAATAATGTATGAGTAAAATATCCGGATGGAGTTATTTTATTTACACTGAGAACTCGTTATTGTTATTGTTTTAAGAAGTAAGAAGCGCATTTGTTTTGAGCAAGTCCGTTTGGCAAACAAAGTACACAGTCACAGCATTTTACAGTAAAATCTTGTGAATCGCATTGAGACGTCCTCCTGACTTGAAAGGCGCTAACTACATCAGAGGATTATTATTGTTATTGTGTGCCAAGTCAATGGTTACACAAAACTATCCACACATACCTTTTATTATTTAGACGTGATGTAAACATCAATATATAAAGACATAGGTAAATCTTTATATCTTTACAATATGTAAAAATGTTAATATTTTCACCATTCGAAGTCTTAAATATCCAGTGTATCATGTAATTTTCTCTCAGGAGGGAGAAAGAGAGAGCGATCACTATTCCCCTGAATTTCCGTTTGATAAACCCCACTTCCTAAACAATTCCTTATTTGTTTCTTGTAAAGAAAAGAAAGCACTATGCATTAGAACTCGTTTTGTCCTGGTCCTATTTTTGATAAACTTACAACCTTGCAGAGTGTGATGTCCTTTTCTAGTTCTGTGTTTCTCTCTTCTGTGCTGTGCTCTGCTCAGCCCTGCACTATATAGGTAGAGCTCTCACCCTCATTTCATTTTTTTTTAAACCTCCTGCATCGCTGTTACTCAGCAACATCTGATACTACACATCAGGATGAGGAACCATGTATTCCAATCCCCCCCCCCAACCCAGCTGGGGACACACACAGCTTGGTAATAATTAATTCTTCTGATAGATACTCTCTGACCTCAGCGAGTTCCTCATTCAACAGATGGCTGGTTACTGAAGGGACAAAAAAAAATGGATTAAGACAAATGAGAAAGGCTCACTTACCATCCAGAGTTGTTTTCTTTTTGCATTCAACCTGGGCTTGGCTCTCCATCACGGGCAGCCTTAATGGCAGCTTACGTTCACTGGAGCCTTGGGTTCACAAAGGAAAGCTTCTATCATTCACGAGTGGCAGGAAATGAAAAAGAGCGAACACTGGGCTTGTCATGTCCCAAAGTTCCATGGTTCCCCCAAAGCCCTTAGGCTAATTCTCAGTGCTAATTTCTCACTTGCAAAATGAAAGTGCAACACGTTGAGAATATCGAGCTGATTCGGCCATGTTTCTCATGATCTGCGCCTCAAGACCATTTGCATAAGAAATTAAGATTGTACAAATTTCTTAAATTCAGTACTAATTTGGAAGCCAGGTCTTCTGAAGAACTGTAGACACCCTCTTCCATGCAAAGGTTGAATTGAAGAATTCTCCATAATCTTAAATGTTAAGGCACCAAATAGTTTTAGGACGGGAAAATACGGGAAATTTCAAGTTTTTCTTTAATTTCTTAGGTGTATCAGTCAGTGGCTGCAGGCAATGAGTAATCCAACTAGATGCTACACTTTACTATGTCCTTGTTTATCACATCAGCTTTTTTATTCATCCCTTTGCTCTAGCTACAGTTGGACATCGTTATAACATTGGGTAAGTGTAGCATAGTTTCGCTTATAACGAGTGCGTTGTGGACCCCAACATTTGTCACACGACTTCATTGAAATCCTGGCATTGCAATCTAACCAAAATATCTCGAAATTATCATAGCTTCCAACCCCACCTGTTAAGGCTTTGGCTTGGAGTGTTAACAGGAGCCAAGTGGGAAGAATTCCTGCTTCCCCAGTAACTGGTCCGCCCCTCAAAGTTCAATGCCTTGGGATGTCCTCCCGACGTGAAAGGCACTGTATGAATGCAATTTGTTGTTGTTTTTAAAGATGAACAACAACAACAACAATAAAATTACATTTATAGAGTGCCTTTCACGTCGAGAGGAGGTCCCAAAGGCTGGTCTTTCTGTCATCAACACTGCCCTGGAGTAATGCAGACTGGGCTGGCTTCAGAACCGAGTGGCCAACACTACCACAGAGGGTTGACACGATTCTGATATTCTATTGTCAATCATGATACCTTGCAGCTTCAAAGACAATGTTAGCACAAATCAAACCACAGTCCTATATAGGCCAGCTCAATTGGCATTATGGTAAAGTACTGTATTGTGGCAATAACTGTAGATCATGAGTAAACAAAACTGTTACAGAGTGCAAACCAAGTATCAAGCTAATAGAGATGATATAGTGGGGTGAATGGCCAGCGAAGGTTGACCGCGATGCTGGTGTACCTGGGACAATATTGTAAGGCTGGTTGTAGAATGATCCCAAGCTGTGAGACTTCAGCATTTTCAGTCAGTGAATCTGAAAGGCCAAACAGGAGGATGAGAACCCTCTCACCCCCTTTACTGCCACAGGATACACCGCTGAACATTGAGGTCTGCAACTGATTGGTGCAAGAGAGGACACAAGGCAACCCATATCTGGCCCTGTAGTGAAGGCCCAGGCTGAGAGGTTGTCCGAGGAGCTCAGTAGTGCACACTTTGCTGCCGGTGAAGGTTGGCTCCAATAGTTCAAGAAGAGACATATCAGCCAGGTCAAGATCACAAGAAGAGATCTGTTTTGCTGACTTTGTTGTTCCCCCATCCTACCCCAGCCCACACTAATGAAGATGAATTCAATGACAAGCACAATGCTGATGGTTTGTACTTGACTAGATTCTGCCTGAGCGGACACCAGCAGTGAGGATGGACGACTGAAAGAGGGAAGGTTTCAAGCAAAAGTTTGACCTTCCAGTTTTGTACCACACAAGACGGGGTTAAGCCCCTCTGCAATGGCCAGTATAGGTCCCCACAGTGTTTCCACCATGTGAACGTGAAATCCATGCCCATTAAGTACAACCACAGTTTTTCAAAATCCTTTTTGCCAAGCACCCAAAGCCACCTTCAATCCAAAGGTCTACCAGGCAACAGCTCTGCTCCTAGATGCCAACTGCCTTGCCCACCCACCAACTTCTAGTCTACAAGGCAGATAAGGCCAAATCAAGATGCTGTACCTACCTAAGAACACGACCAACAAGATCCAGCCACTTGACCAGGGAATAATCGCCACCTTCAAGAAGATCTACAGGAGGGAACTTGTGAAGTCTGACCTGGGTGTTACCAATGCCTAAAGCAAATGGACCTAGAGGAGATGTTCTACCTGGCAGCTAGAGCATGGAGGGTTTGGGAGGTGAGCACACCTTGTATTCGAGACCTGCTGGCTGAAGGGACTCTAGGATGCGTTCCCAGAAGAAGCAATGGAACGACAGCTTGGCAGGATTCGCAGCGATGGATATCTGGGCAGCCCAAGGCAAGCTGGAGGACTGGTCAGGTGAGGACGTGACCCTGGCCTACTGGTTGCAATTGTGCAGGAGACTAGATGATGAGCAGCTGGTAGCCCAAGTCCAGAGCAAAGAAGCGGAAATAGATGGGAATAGACCAGAAGAGCAGCAAGACTCGCAAGTAACAAACAATCCAGCAGAAACAGAGAAGGAAGGCACTGAAAATAGGTCTGACATAATGTTCAAGATATTGGAACATGGGAACAGGAGTGGGCCATTCAGGCCCTCGAGCCTGCTCCCTCGTTCTTTTCGATCATGGCTGCTCTGTATCTCCACTTACCCGCCTTTGCTCCATATCCTTTGATATTCTTACCTAACACAAAAAGCTATCCACCTCAACCTTCAAAATGTGAATGGATCCAGCATCCACAGTCTTTTGGGGGAGAACGTTCCAGATTTCCACTACTCTTTACATGAAAAAATACTTCCTAATTTCACTCCTAAGTGACTTAGCTCTCAGACCATTCCAGCTCAAGCAATATCCTTGGTTTGCCCAGAAAAAGAAAAACCACAGCCAGAGACAACTGGAGGTGACTGACCTCTTCAAGGAGTCCAACTGAGAAGGTTGTTGCTGTCTTTTAATGATTTAGTGTTTGTAGTTTCTTAAATATATCAGGGTAGAAATTTCACCGGGGTCTAGATTTACTCCATTAACATTGCATTTTAGTGGGTGCAGAATTCTGTAAATTGTTGCATTGTGTTTTAACTCTGGGGCCCGTCTTTCTGTAGTTCCTTAAAAGAATTTACAGGAAACTGCTCCAAAATTCAAGACACTTTAAGAATTTGACAAATTCTGGACGCACTGAAAAGCTAGGCAAATGGAGTAAATCTACACTCAGGTAGATGCACTCTGAAGTATTTGGTGTTGGACGCTTTATAATTTATGTAGAGTTGCATTTAAAAGAGTACCATTTGCTCTTACAGTACTGCACAAGGGTTTTAATGAAGTGCAGCAATAGGCAACACACACATACACAATTCTGGTGAGGTCTCCCACCTCCTCCCCACATCAATGAAGCAACAGAATATGAGAGCAGTTGGCTGGCTTTCTGCTCGCATATAGAGTGTGGATCAGTGACATCTCTATCCTACATCGCACTCAGTTACAACACGTGATCTCTTGTTATGGATCTCAATTGCTGTGTTATAATTGGGGCGGACAGTGAACACTGAGATAACCAACATAGACGCTTGTTATCCGAGATGGTCACAAATGGATAATTGTAGAGGTTTGAGGGAATGCTGTAACTTTTTCTGCTCTGTTTGCTTTTCATTCAGCCCGTAGGGAGTTGAGCTCAAAGTCTAGGCTGACAATACTGGGGACAATGCTGCATTGTCGGAGGTTTCATCCTTCAGATGAGACGTTAAAACTAGGTCCTATCTGCCTGCTCAGGTGGGTGGTGTAAATATACCATGGCTTTGTTTGAAAAGGGAAAATAATTTCTCCCAGTGTCCCCTAATACAAAAAAAAGTTATTCATTATTTGTGGGCGTTTGTGTGACGTTGCTGTGCACAAATTGGCTGTTGCCTCAAACATACACACGACTCTAGAGGAGTACTTTGAGACGTTTTAACATGAGGCACAGCATCAAATGCTCGGTTTATTATTTAAGAAGGAAACAAGCACCGACTCTCATAACTTGTCCAACATTGACTTAAAACATGTGTTAAAATGAACCAATTCTTATGTGAGTTGATTAACCCCAAGTCCCCAGTGTGGGGCTTAGACCAATAACCTTCTGGCCCAGAGACGAAAGTGATACCAACTGAGCCAAGCTGTCACATTATTGTACTGAAATAATAGCAAGGGTAATTGCACAGGGGAGCATCTCAAAATGCTTGACAAGTAATTACTGTCAAGTATAGTTACCAATGTCCCACAAAGAGCCATGAGGCTAACAATCAACTTAATGGAGGGCTGTTGGCCAGGAAGCTGGGAGAAACTCCCTTCTCCTTTTCAATAGTGTCTTGTGATGTTTAACATCTACCTGAAAATCAAATGGCTGGGGTTCGATTTAATGTCTCATCTGAAGGTCAGGTGCTATACAAAGGAGGGTCATAGCAGGGATGAGGAAACTGAGACTAAGTTAGCGTGCACAGCAAAGCTGGTGAACAGCTGGTAACCCAGAACAAGTGCACTTGCCTCTCAATAAGATACATTTTTTTACTTTCTTTCTGACTTTAGTTCCTAGGCATTGGAAAAAGAAAATAAGACAGTATAGTGGTGCAAGGCGAAGCAGGAGACCAATAGAATAGCCTCAGATGACTACAGACTGATTTCAGATCAATCCTCCTCAACAACCCTACTGGGAAAGGTGCTGTGCTTCATCCAGCAGACAGGTCAAAATCATTCCAAGGACACCTGCCCAAGTTCTGCACAATTCACTCCCCCCTCCACTCAAATCACTCCCCACCCTCTCTGCCCAGATTGTGTTCAACGCCCCACCAAGTTGAAAGTTGTCATAGCAGCGTCCAAATTCTTGGAATGAAAGCAAACTATGTCTACCATTTGTGTTTAGAAGCTGCTCTGAACCACTGAAGGGTTACCTCTGCCAAGGGCAACCCTGGTACATACTTGTTTTAATGGTAGACTTGTGTCATAATAGATCATACCCCTGTTGGAACTGACCCATTCACGAGTGAGAATATTTTTTTCAACTGTCAGTCTGCCCCTTGTTCCAGTAAAGCTTTCTCAGAGAACCAGGGAGGATAAGAGTTTGATATAAAATTACTAGATAGTCTCTGTGAGGATCTAATGCTTGAAACCCACTCTTAGCCTTTGATGCTATTTAGGACTGAGGTTGCTCAGGCTTGTGGATCTGTGTCTGGCTTCGATACTCTTAAGGGATTGGAGTGTCAGGCACCCAGCTAACCAAAAACAAAGTGACCTTTTCCAATTAAATTTTTACAGCAGAAGACGGGTGTTCAGGAGCCCTGTTCCTGACGGTAGTAACAAGTAATGTTTGCTTTCTTCCTGCCAGCTAACTCTCCATTACATACCAGCAGCGATACCCAACTGTCTAGTGAATAGTGTCTTGCACATAATCGTTTGCATATCAATCAACCTGTCCTGGCTGCTACTTCTGTATTGCTGAGGAGTGACGGTGACTGTGGATATCACTTACCGCTCGATCTTCCTTTCGGTATCACTGGTTTATCATCCCTGTGGGAATGTAAGAGGAAATGTTTAGATGCTGGCAAGATCCTAAACAAGAGGATAAACCATCTGTACAATTGTGAGAATGTGGAACGCAGGCAGAATTGATTGCAGTGTTCAAAAAGGGAGATAGATAGGCACTTAGGAAAAAAGGGTATATTGAGGATTGTGGAGACAAGGTGGTGAAATAGAATTAAAAAGGTCTGTCATTATCTAATGAACAGGCAGAATAGCTTTGAGATGCTGAATGGCCTCCTCCTTTTCCTATGTACCAAATGCCTTGGTCTAGGAACCAGATACATCCTCTTACCCTCACTTTGAGACGTCTCGAACACGTGATAAGGCACTATATCAAATGCTAGGATTATTATTATTACATACATTGCAAAAATGCCATTGCAAAGTGTCATTTTGCCCTCCTTCAGCTGAAGCATTGAACAATAGATCCGGTCTGCCTGTTCAGGTGGATGTTAAAAGATCCCGTGATACTGTTGGAGAAGGGAAGGGGGGGTTTCTCCAGTGTCCTGGCCACCGATCCTCCAGAAAAATTGGTCATTCACCTAATGGCTCTCTGTAGAACCAAAGTGACATTCCAACAAGAATTTGGGAAACTTTTGAAGTGATAAGGAGCTATTAAAATGCAGGCTCTTTCTGCTTTTAGCGGCAGAGGAATCTGATGTTCATTGTTTGCCTTGCAACCTTTCCTTTAATATTAGGAGCACTGGTTCCATCAAGCTATCAGCCAATGTAGTGGCAATGAAAATAGAAGTGATTGTACCAGTTTCACCATCAATCAGCCATCCCTCTGACGTGTGACCCATGATGTACAGTGAGTGGGCTTTCACTTCAGGGATTCAGTCTCCAGGGATTCAAGTCTTCTCTAACTGTGAAACATGTTAGGGAAAACTCAACCAGCTGCTTCTGGCTGTGAATTCACAGCACACAACTGTCTGCATTTTGGCTAACTCGCTCAAGAGACCATGGGTTGAATGGCACGAGGAGGGTTGAATAAGCGCTCTGAGATGCCGCCTGGCGTGGAGGGCGCTATACAAATCCAAGTTGTTGTTGTTGTCGAGGAAAGGAAAATTTCACACTGGTGTATTAATAGGGGCACAGTTTGGAGTTTTTCTTTTGATGGGGAGGTTGAAGCACATTGTTAAGGCAGAATGGAAGGACTTTACTCTGCACTTAGTGGTGCTGTATGTGACCGCAGAGTGCTTTACAGTAATGATAATAAATAATAAAATAATATCAATCCTTACATTTGGTATCGAGCCTGTCACATCGGGAGAATGCCCGAAGTGCTTCACAGGATAATTGTAAAGTGACTGTATATTGTGGGTCATTGTAGCAGCCAATTTGTAGTCTGGTGAGATTATTAAAGTCACTAAATGTACTGAACAGCAGAACATGATGGTGGACACTGCCCTGGGCCAGTAGATTGCCTGATTAAGGAGGGACTAAAACCCTCTCAGACCCTGAAAAGGGACCAATTCCTATTTTCTCAGACTTAAAAGTCCTCTCAGCATAAAACACGCACCCAACCACCCCCAAAAAGAGTTTTTTGGTTAAATGAACAACGAATTACTGAGCGACAGCAAGATATAAACAAAATACTCCTCAAAGCGAGTCCTTATGTCATTTTAATTACATGATTGAGTAAGAGGGTTCCCAAAGCTCTCTTGTTTGAACAGCCTTGAATCAGAATAGCTGAAGAGCGAAGCCTTGGAGCTGATGTTTCACCATGGGCCTGAAAGGAGTGATAGAATGCAAGGATTTTTATTATAATCTTGCAAAGCTCTCCCCTCAGATTTCTCTTGCGGTTTTAATCGTTCTGGTTTCGCGTTTAATTTCCTTGTAAGACTCTGAAGGTTTCAAAACAGCGACTGAAACGGGCCCTGAATCCCAGAAGAATTCATGGTCTGAAGAAGATCAGACAGACTGGAGTGTCATTTCATGTCCCTTGATACCTAGTTAACGGATGCAGAATGTTACTGACTGGAGGAAAGAGCCCGAGGGCCCAGACGGAAGCTGATATGCTTAGTTCTCTGTTTTATTCCATTTTAAATCTGTCTGAAGATAAACTGGCAATAAGCTGTATTTAAAATTGAACAAACACCTCCTAGGTACCTCATTAAGTCTAGGTTTTATTTGCAGTTACAGTTTTATGCCCCGGATAAAATCAGTGCCTGATTATCCAATTACAGCACTGTATGTGCTTGCTCACTAGTGGTGAGGAAGTGAATGTTCTCTTTCTGTCTCTGACACCAGGAAGGCGGTTTATAACAAATCCTTAAATTTCATATAGCTAGCACCTGTCCACATCATCGAAGTGTCTCAAATCGCCTCACGGGATTTACCGCGAAGTGTGGTGGCCATATATTTGTGGGAGAACAGCTCATTTGTGCACAGCAATGTTCCCACAATGAGCCAATTTTATCTGGAGGAATGTTGGTCAGGACACCGGGAGAGACAAACTCCCTTCTCCTTTCGATGAGATTCTCGGGATCTTTAACGTCCGCCTCAACAATCAGACGGTTCGTTTAGCATTAATATCCCATAAACAATATTAAGGTGAACATGTTGTTGCTGAGCATGTTATTGGGGTTTTCTTGGTGAACGTTGTAATATGAGGAAAGCTCGCTGTTCTTCAAAACAGATTCACAAGCCTGGACAAAAGTATTCACAATTTGGAGTCTTATTGAAGAAAGGCATGCTCGGTCGGGCAAATTTCAAGCTTAAAGCAAACCTGCTTTTACCTGGTGGCTTTGAACTTGATTTGCTTGTTCTCGGACTCGCAGATCCTCACTGCGTCGTCCAAGCTCATGCCCATGGTGCACAAGCCGCAGATGTAACAGATCCTGTCGTTGGGTTGCAGGCTTCCTTCTGCACTGGCCGGAGAATTTGGCACGATTTGCAGCACGTAAACGCCTTGCCATTTACTGCCTATCCCCCCCGTTAACTTCAGACCTGCAGAAACAAGTACAGACCTGGACTGAGATCAATAGCAAAGAAGATTAGTAACCCATTCGCCGGGGCATGTGCATCTATAATAGCAAGGAAACTAATCATGGTCGTCGTAAATCTTAGTGTCGCTCTTTGCTGATTGCAACATTGCTGTGTGAATATTTGCCTACAAGAATACAGTCACTACACTTTGCAGTAAAATCCTGTGCTTTGAAGTGCTTTGACATGTGAAAGATGCTTTACCAAATGTACTGATTATTATTAGTAAAACACAAATCTTGTTAAATATGGTTCCAAAAGGAACACCTTTCAGAGAGCTGCGGGAATACGAGGCAGGAATGTGTAATACTTCCTGGAATTTTCAGATTTTATTTGTTTATGCAAGTCTGATCTCAGCCAATTGCTTGTAAAAAAAAACGCAAAAACCCTCTTATAAATAAGGAAAATAATTTCGCATCTACGCACGAAGGAATCGCATGGAATTAAATAATAATCAGTTTTTTAAAAAAAAATAAAACCTTAACTTCTAGGAATGTGTGAACATCACCATACAGGAAAAACCTATTGCCGTCCACCCAACCAGTCCCTAAGTAAAAATAAAAGATTTGTAGGGTAAATAAATAATCCCATGCTGCTACATCTGTCAAACCTCTCTCGATTGATAGCTATTCCGTTCCCTCTTTGGATCTGATTCTACTGTCATTCACAGTGGTCCCTTCCTTTTCTATAAAGGATGAACCCCACTACATGGCTTGGCTTGTTACAGCCCAAGTTTGTTGACAGCTCATAAACTCGAGCTACACCATATGTAGTGTTCCACAGTGCAGTTGGAGCCGGTCCCCACCCTGATCACACTGCAAGAGACCCCGCATTACAATAAAGTGCATTATAACAGGGTTCTACTGTAGCTGCCCTGCCTGTATACCCTCTCCGGTGCTAAAATGCCCTTACAGTACTGTACTCAGGGCTCTTTGAAAACCCAGGCAATCGAAATCTACACCACGTCGCTGTGCCACTTACCCAACTGGCCGTTCGGACCTCTCTGGATGACAATATCTGGAATCTTGTCCAAAGGTGGTGGTAGAAGCAGGTTCTGGGCAGCTCGGCCAACCATGAGGGTCAATTTATCAGGAACGGATCTAAGCAGGTCAATGGCGTCCTCGTGCGAGACGTTTGTAACATCGAAGCCATTTACCTGTAAGGCAGCGTGAGTGGATGGACAACACCAATTAATCCGGTTTCTATTAAATCAGTTTTGTTTCCAAGCTTTTCTTCTCCCCCTTTTACATGGTTTCCATTTCCACGAGCCATGTCCCAATCATGGCTGAGAGTCCTGACATCTCACATACTCCAAGATCTCTTTGAGGAGATCCACAAGAAGTGACGCTCCTTCCTGTTTGCCTCCTTCCTTCTGAGGATTGTCTGCCCTCGGCATCTCATGAGCTGTGTTCAACCCTCCCCACCCAAGCCATTCCATTCCCATTCTCTTTCTCTTTCCCCATTGTGTCTGTGCTAGTTCTTCCCATTGGCGATATCTGCTCAGTGAAGTCCTGTAGCTCAGTGGTTAGAGCACTCGCTTTGTAAGCGAGAGACCTGAGTTCAATTCCAGACAGGGTGAAACCTTGGGCAAGTTTCCTTACTCCACACAGAGCCTAATAGTAATCACTGTAAAACCAAAACCAATAATAAATTGGTCATTTTCAATCTACGACTGTTTGTGGGACTTTGCTGTGCGCAATTGGCTGCCGCGTTCACCCACAAATATACAGTCAATTCACTTTACAGTGTGTTCTGTGAAGCGCTTTGGGACGTCCTCCCGACGTGAAAAGCGCTATATCAAATGCAAGGATTATTATTATTAAAACCTGTTTAGAACCAAAGGAACTTACAGCACAGAAGGCGGCTATTCAGCCCAACTTGTCTGCGCTGGCTCTTTTCAATCCCATTTAGCAATCCTTTGGTTGCCATTTACTTGCTTTTTCTCTGTGCTCGTGGGACACTGCTGTGCGCAAACTGATTGCCATGTTTGCCCCGCAAAATACACCACTTTGAGGTGTCTCGGGTGAAGTGATAAGGTGGTACATCAAATGCAAGGGTTATTATTATATAATTGTGTTTCACTGCTTTGTAGATTTGTAGCTTTGTGGAGTCCTGTAGCTCAGTGGTTAGAGCACTCGCTTTGCAAGTGAGAGACCTGAGTTCAATTCCACGCACAGGGCGAAACCTTGGGGAAGTTTCCTTACTCCACACGTCTAATAATCATCCCTCCAAAACCAAAAACAATAATAAAAGATTGGTCATTTTCAATCTACGACTGTTTGTGAGACAATTGTGCGCAATTGGCTGCCGCGTTCGCTCACAAATATACAGTCAATTCACTTTACAGTGTGTTCTGTGAAGCACTTTGGGACGTCCTCCCGACGTGAAAAGCGCTATATCAAATGCAAGGATTATTATTATTAGTTCCGTTTTGAAAGGTGATATGGATTTCCCTGCTCTTTACCTATTGTGTCCGTGCTGGTGCTCGCTCCCATCACTGGAAAGCTCGGCGTCAGGCTCCACCACTGTTAAGTGCTCCAAGATGCTCCCCACATTAATGGCGCAACATAAATGCAAGTTGTTGCTGTTGTATTTCAAGTGTGCGTTACATCTTTAAAATTGAAAAAGAATTCTAGGAACCCACTACTTTTAGGTCCATTCTTGCTATAAATGGGTGATAGAATCAAGTGGATGGTGGAAAATTCAGCAAATCTTTACAGTACCTCCGTAGGGATCTTTTTTTAAAATATCGACCGGAGTCAAATCACTGCTTTATAAATAAATTAAATTCCAAAGGATTATTGTCTCTTTTTACAGCTTACTCCCTGCCCTGCGTGCGCAACTGAGGCAGATTAATGCACACTGAAGAGAAGAGAGGAGTTTTTGTAACACTTTTACTGTACAACAAAGGCTGTAGCATGGAAGTAAAACCTGCAGAAGGTTATCAGGTCTCCTGAGCTCTGTAAATCTCGCAGGCGCTCATGAACTATTGCTTAGAACTGTATAGATTTTTTGCTTTAGAATTGCTCAAAACTGTAACAGCGCTAAAGATAGGAACATTGCAGAAAAGAGGAACTGTTGTGAACTGCTACAGTGGAGCTTGCTGTGTTTGACTGCTGGGCTCAGTTAGTAACTCGCTCGCCTCTGGCATGGCAGGATGTACGTTCAAGTCTCCACATCGGGATTTGAGCTCACATCTCGGCTGATGTTCCAGTGCAGAGCTGGGCGAGCACGACATTATCAGAGGTTCCGCCTTTTTAATGAAACATTGAAATGAGGTCCAGTCTATCTGCGTTTCCAGTGAACACTGAAGATCCCATGGCACTATTCTTACAGAGAAGTTTCTCCCAGTAACCTGGCCAATAATCCCCTGGATTTTTTCGTCATCCACCTCATGGCTGTCAGGGTTAGCTACAAAAACAGTCACCGCACTTAACACGCAGTAAATTACATGCGAGGTGCTTTGTTTGATAAGTGATGAAGAGCTGTAAAAATGAATGTTATTTCAACCTCAAGTGTAGATTCTCTGCAAATAGGCAAAGTCCTCAGTAAAATTAGCTGGTTTTTAAAAATTCTTTTGTAAGGAATTTTTAAAAAAATCAGCGTTAATTGAATGGGACTGATCAATACCCAGAACAGCATCTCCAACAATGAGCCACTTACCCCACATAATGAATGACACATTTTATCTTGGGGATTGTTGGCCAGAACTACAGGCAAACCGGCTTCCAACCTGATATGGATTTTATAATAATAATAATCCTTGCATTTGATATAACGCCTTATGACATCATTGAGACGTCTCAAAGCTCTCCGCGGGATTGACTGTGTATTTTGTGGACGACACACGGCCGCCAGTTGCGCACAGGAGTGTCCCACAAAAAGCTGTCAAGTGCGTGCTAAATTTTATTTCCGAAATTGTTGGCCAGGACACCGGGAGAGAGAAACCCCCTTCTCTTTTCGAATAGCACCACTGAATCTTTAACGTCCACCTGAACAGGCAGACGGGACTTTGGTTTAAAGTTTCATCCGAAGGATGGATGTTAAGAATTTTATTTGGTCAGCCGGGTGTCTGGCATAGGTGGAAACCCATCACCACCTAACCAGAGTTCTGTGCATCCCACCTAACCATGGAAATTCCCGTGTATTTGAATTCGTTAACATGACAGGGCCACCTCGAAGTTTAGGATGAAGTGTTCTACAGGCTCAGATTGGGTGGAAGCACGGAGCATAGTTGTGTAAAAAATACAGATCTTACCGTTATCAGCTTGTCACCAGCCCTCAGTCTCCCGTCGCCCTTGGCGGGATTATCCAGGACATCTCTGATGTAGTAGCAATTGTCCAGTTTACTGCGAACCATCGTGAAGCCTAGGCTGCCTTTCTTGTTTTTCTTCAGAGTCACAAACATCTCAAACTCCTGGGTTTTGGACTGAACAAAAAAAGAACCTCAATGAGCTCATGACGCCAGTCAGTGGGACAGCTCACCCCCACCTCCGCCGTCTCACCTCCAGCTATGTTACTGTGTTCAAAGCCTGGTGAACTTGAAACTTGTCCATACAACTATCACCTCAATTCAATGCAATTTGTACTGATGCAGCACCTTTCACATCGGGAGGACATCTCTCAAAGATTTGATGCCATCAATAGTGACACCAAAGTAGTAAACTCTGCTTGTGGCACACTGCCACAAAATTCCTTCTCACTGTGAGCCTGGGATTTATTGTAAACGTTTCCCACACATTTGTATCATTTATTTATTCAGTTAAAAAAAGTGAGAGGCACAGGGAGCTAACCAATATAACTCTGCTCAGTGCTGTGCACACAAAATATGTGTTTCTATGCATAGAGTTGGAATGGACACCCGCATTTGGGTGGGGAGGGTTCCCCTCAAGTCAGTGTATTGTGGGGTTTGAATCCAATTCGTAAGTTGCGTTAACTGTCTTTTTAAGATTATCATATTCATATCACACATAATCTCAATTCAGCAAAAGGCAAGGGGTCTGGTAGTGTTCAGGTTGTTGGTTTGAGAGTCTGGAAGAAGCACTTCCTCACACCACATTTGCATCAGAAATCTTCTCTTCGTCACAAAGATACACAAAGACACACAGGCAGACACTTGCACATACGTATAGGAAGAGATACAGAGATGTGCACACACTCGTGCAGGAAGAGACGGCAAGACATACACATAGGAAGAGACAAATCCGTGCACACACACACACCAGATACACACACATCAGAAGACATGCATACACGAAGACACATGCGCACACCTTCCTCAGATGATGAGGACATTGAGCCACTGAGGTTAGTCACTGTTGTTTAGCCACTGAGACAAATGTGACACTTACTTGCTTAGGCTCTTCCTCATCTTCATTCATCACTCTTGCTTGAGGATCCAATTCCTGTTCCATTTCCTCCACATCCTCCCACTCAGACTTGTTGCTGGTGTTCTCCCATGAGGCCTGGGGCTGTGGGCTGAATCTGTAAGGCAGCTGAATCTCAGTACTATCACAAGAGAAGTTTGAGGAGACTGAGGCACTGCTGATGTTCAGGTACTCTTCATCCAGCGATGTTGGAGAAGCCACTTGGGGCTTGTGATAGTAGACTGCTGATGCTGGGCCATTGTAGTCACCTAACGTACTGTTCTGAAGGCTGAGAGTTCAAGCAATAGGTTGTAATGATTCTAAATTATCTTAAAAGATAAAATGATATTTTTTGCACTTGATAAAGTGCCTCGCATGTTGGGAGGATGTCTCAAAGTGTTTCACAGGATATATCGTGAAATGCAGTGATTGTATTTTGTAGGCAAACACGGCAGCCAATTTGTGCACAATAATGTGCCACAAACAGCCATGAAGTGAGTGACCAATTTTATTTGGGGGATTGTTGACCAGGACATCGGGAGAAATTCCCTTTTCTTTTCGAATAGTGCCATGAGATCTTTAACGTCCACATGAACAGGCAGATGGAACCTCGGTTTAACGTACTCATGCACAATACCTCCAGCGCTGGACTGTCAGCCTAAAGTAAATGAGTTCTAAACCCCAACATGAGGTTTGAACCCTCAATCTTCTGACTCGGAGGCTACCAACAGAGCCAGGCTGACGTACAATATTATTATTAAGATATCTTATTCAGAATTCCTGCCGACTCAAAGGAACTCCGCCCTAGAATGAGATCCCACCAGAGTAACGTTCCCGAGAGTTGGGGTGATTGTATTTCAGATCAGTGTGACTTGTGTACCTTATTAAGGCATCCTGTTACGAAATTGCAAAGGTTACATGCAATATTTCTTAAGTTTTTAATGTTATTGGAGCTCCAGTAAAATGTTCTTTCGCTCTTCTGTGAAAATACACAGTCAATTCACTTTACAGTATATCCTGTGAAGCCCTTTGAGACGTCTCAAAGACGTGATACGACACTATATAAAATGCAAAGTTTATTATTATTATCATCTACCAAAGTGCCCTGTGAGTTTATAATGGGAAAAGTCCCACTTCCTCAAGGTCTCATGAATTAATAAAATATTTTCATTGAGGAGGGCCATTGAATTGACCGACCACCTTGGAATTGTCACCAGCGAGGTTGAACATGTGAGATTTTCAAAACAAAATGATTCACAACTAATCATATTATGAATAATCGTTGCATTTCATACAGCGCCTCATTGGCACCTCATTTCACAAAACACACGGTCAATCCACTTTACAGTTTTGGGATGCTCAGCAATAGACTTCCTGAAGTGGAAGGCACTGTAGCAAATGCAAGATTATTATTATTATTATTTTTAATACAGAGCTTTTAACATCGGGAAACATAACAATCTGACAGCACTCACTTTTCATCGACTTTTACATCGCAGGATGAGTAACAGTTCTGCCTCAGGTCATTAGCCAGAGCAGTGATCAGAGCCAGATTCATCTCAATGAGTGGAATGTCTTCAAAGTTCTGGTACTCTTCAGGAGGGTAGCTCTCTGAACGAGAGATGTAGTCCTCAGCCTCCTCACTTTCGTCACTCCCAGGTTCACTGAGATCACACTGACGCTGCTCAGTTGAGCCATTTAGCTGGTCTTTCACCTCCTGGTTCAGGTAAGTCTTTGCCTCTGGCTCTGTCACAGTCTTGTCCAGCTGTGAATCAGGTGAACACAGTACAGAATGTTCCTTGATCGGAGAAGCAGCTGGAGTCTAACAGGTGTAAAAATATGCAGAATTAATAATTATAATAATTATTAATAATCCTTGCATTTGATGTACCAAAGAAATGTCTCAAAGAGCTTCACAGGATATCCTGTAAAGTGGATTGACTGTAAAATGTGTATTTTGTTGACGAACACAGCAGCCAATTTGCACACAGCAATGTCCCACCAACAGCCATGAAGAGAATGACCAATTTTATCTGGAGGATTGTTGGCAAGGAAACCGGGAGAAACTCCCTTCTCTTTTCGAACAGTCTCACAGAATCTTTCATGTCCACCTGCTCAGGTGGACGTGAAAGTTAATATCTCATTGAGTTAATATCTCGTCCGAAGGACAACACCTCTGACAATATGGCACTCTAACCAACACTGTGCTGGGGTGTCAGCCTATCTGAACCCACAATTTTCTGAGTCAGAGTCAAACTATTGGCAAATTTTAAATGCAGCTTTAACATAGGTACATATATACTATGTTTCCTCCTTGTTTCCCCCCACAACCCTCCTCCCCGTGTCCATTATTAGCCCATAATGTTTGCATGGAGTCGGATTACCATTCGATTGGGGTCGATTTCAGGAAGGGTTCCTGGTGCTGGTCTGTGCATGGTGATGGCTACTTCAGATGGTGCTCCTCGCAGTAAGTGAAGGACTTCCTGTTGAAATTCAGAGAGCAAAACAATGACAAGGCCATGTGACTAGATTGCATGAACAACGACTTATCTCCATGCTGTGGCATCTTAATAATAATAATCCTTACGTTTGATATTGCGCCTTAAGATGTCATTGACACATCTCAAAGCATTTCACAGATACTGATCCGCCAGTCGACTAACAACCAGATCCCTACTTACTGCTAGGTAAGGAAACTTGCTTAAGGTTTCGCCTCGCCGGGAATCAAAACCAAGTCCTCTTGTTTGTGTGGCCAAAACTCCAACCAGTACACTATAAGACTCCATGTAAAAGAAACGTTAAAGTGCTTTTACAGACCCAGGTTACTGGGCTGTGGAATATCCCGCCAACTGGGGTTTTGAAAGCCGAATCCACAATAGCTTTCACAAGGAACTAAGACAAATGTTTGAGAAGGAAAAATATAAAAGGCTTTTTGGGTGTAGTGGACCTAAATTAATTGCTCTTTCAGTTACGAATGGCCTCCTTTTGCGCTGTCAACTGGGATAAATCTATTCAGGTCTAGTACCCAATGACTGAGGACAGGACTATCCTCTTTACCTATGTCACCTGGCTTGACTACACCGATATATTGGCAGCAGAAATCCAAGTCTCCATCTTTTCCCTGCAGTCTGCATGAGGAGTCGAGAGCCAGTCTGTGCAGATCATGTTGTTGTGAATTTGCTACGATTCTCCAGGGCTCACAAACAAAATCCCATTTTGCCTCAATTTCCCCAGCAAGTCAATGACAGTCTGGCAAGCAACACGTCTGTGTGACAAAGGCTTCTTACCTGATACGATAGACCCTGCACTACTGCTCCGTTGACTGCGAGAATGACATCCCCAACCTTAATCTGACCACTCTCCTCCGCTGGTTGCCCGGGAAACAGCTTTTTTATTCTCACCAAACCTCCGCCTCCCGGGTCCTCGATGTTCGGATATGTCATCTGCAGGAAACTGAACCCCAAGCCTCCCGAGTTCTTCCTCAGCCTCACCTCGAACGTGGTACCTGCTGGGGCACAGAGTTTGACATGTTCGGAAATTCACACCTTTTCTCTTTCAGACACTGTACAGCACAAAAACAGGTCGTTCGGCCCAACCAGTCCGTGCCGATGTTTACAAGCCACACAAGTCTCACAATAATAATCCTTGCATTTGATATAGTCTTGTCACGTCTTGGGAGACATCTCAAAGCACTTCACAGGATATACTGTAAAGTGAATTGATTTAGGAGATATAATAATCATGAACAGGGAATAGTTAGTTCAATACAACTGTCTGAATAAGTGTGCAATCAAATGGTTTGTTTTCACTGCTCATTAGTTTGCTATCTAATACAGTAGTATACAATAATGTTGTAATAATCCTTGCATTTGATATAGCATTTTACCACATAATCGTTTCACAGCATTTTATTATAAAGTACAGTGACTGTGTGTTTTGTAAGCACGCACAGCGTCTAATTTTGGCCCAACAATCTCCTCCAAACTCCCATGAAGTGAATGATCAATCTTTTAGCTCCGAGATGCTACCCTGAACGAAGGGCACTATATGAATGCAAGTTGCGGTATTTTGTAATAAACAGGAGAGCACTGTGCATTACTGCCAGCTCTTCATTTTGAGATGCATTGTTCGGTAAGACGGCCAAAAAGATGAAATGGAGAAGGATGATTACAGCGAGCCGCACACACAAACAAAATCAAATCTTAAATCATTTAGTGTCATTTCTTTCGAGGAGCTCATTAATAAGTTGTTGCTATTTAGTATTACGCTGATGTAAGATGATGACCTTACAAAAAGATTAATATTTAGTTCTAAATCAATTCTCCAAATCTAATTATGAAGCTAGTATTAATGACTTGCATTTTCCCAGCACCTCATCATGTTGAAAATTCTTCAAGCACCTCACAGTAATTAGTTTACAGGCCGGTTTTGTAGATAAACATCGCTGCCATTATGTGCAAATAGTCCCTCAGAAAGAAATGGTCCGAATTGCTCCACAAGATTTACTGTAATGTGGAGTGTCTGTGAATTTGTAGGTGAACGCAGCAGCCTATTTGCCTATTTGCCCATAGCATTGTTCCACAAACAACCTCAGGGGCCCTCGTATGTGCAACCTAGGCAATAGGTTCAATCCATAATTGTCCTTCCTTCCCCACATCTGGTCCCTGACTAGGACTGCCTTCTTCCAACTCCGCCACACTGCCCGCCTCCAACTGTACCTTACCCCAGACGCAGCCAAAACAATCTTCCATGCATTTGTCACCTCAACTATTCAAATGCCCTCCTCACCGATCTCCCCAGCTCCACCATCCACAAAATCCAGCTGATCCCAAACTCCGCTGCCTGCATAATCATCCGCACTAAACTCCCTATCTCCATCACACTAGTACCAGCCTGGCTCTACTGGCTCCCTATCGCTGAAGGGGTTGATTTCAAGATCCTCACGCTCATTTTCAAATCCCTTGATGCCCTGGCACCTCCCTATCTCTCCGATCCGCTTACACCCCCCAGCCTACAGCCTCTGCTCAACTGGCTCCAACCTCCTGCATGTCTCTTGTGCCCTCTGTTCCATCATGGGGCCGCACTTTTAGCCACTACGCCCTGAAACTCTTGAACATTCTGCCTCTCCCCTTCCTTCCCCTTCTTCAGATTACACCTGAAGACTTTCCTCTTCGACTGTGCCCACGGTCACCTCCCCACTCCTCCCGGCTCGGTGTCAGGCTCCACCACTGTCAAGCGCTCTGGGACACTATCCTGCATGAGGGACACTATATAATTGCAAGTTATTGTTGCTGCTGTTGTCTGAAGAACAAAACGGATCATTATGGTTTGTGGTGTCAGTCCTATTTCCTACACTATCATTATTTGTGGTCTTCATCCCCTTACCCCCCCCACCCCACACCTATCCCGCAATCCCCACAGCCATCATATAATTGCTTGATGTCCTCTTGATACTGGCCACGCTGCCTCCACTTTCTCCCTGGCCAATTAATTCCCCATTCGGACACGCATGCAAAGACACACACATACATATTCACTACCTATTCAGAAGTCAGAGTCCTATAAGAACAATTACCTTTACAGAACATGCACGACATTAAAAATGATTCTCTGCCTTGCCGCTGAAAGGGCAGGCCATAAATTATCCTTAAGAAAGTGACATACGTGCTAGCTTCCCCCCCTCAACATCACCCCCTACCATCTGTTGTGAAGTCGTCGTCCTTGGGAATGATAGGCAAGGTTGTTGCTTTGGAAACCTCAGGATATTCATCTTCGTTCCATTGGCTTGTGACAGTGAGTACGAGCTCCTGTTCGCTTTCTGGAGTGTTGCTCCCAGTTGCTGCCGGCTGCTGTCCTCTCTCCAACACCAACCTCACCACCTAGTGACGGAGGACAGAACAATCAATCCACTCGCTGTCCACTTACAGACATGAGCACAACTGCAAGGTCACAGAATCTGATTTAACATTAGCAACTCAGAGAGAAACGAGGCGTTCAGCCCATTGTGTCCTTGACGGTAACGGGTGTAGTTCAGATAGTTAGACGTGGAGCTGTACGCAATTAACTTGATTAGGAATTAAAATATTTACCAATTGACTTTAGGGAGATTTTATGCTGAAATTGGAACATTTGACTTGTGACCAACCTGTGCTACTAACACCACTCCCCGGGATCTATCTACAAAATACAGTCACTCCACTTCATAGTATATCCTGTGAAGTGCTCTGAACTGACATGGAAGGCGTTATACCAAATGAAAATATATTTTTATGCTCTCTAATCCCTTTCCCCTGATCTTTCCATGAACATTTTTTTAATATTACTTTTCCTCATGTAATTTATCACAAGATTGGTTTGGATGAAGAAGGCACTTTGACTTGTCTAATCTCATCATTCCAGAACACTCACCCTACCGTCTCCCCATCACTGGCTGCTTCTTAAATGAGTAGCAACCTGTTCCAGTCATCAAATACCCTCTGAGTAAAGAAAATACTTCTTCAGTCCCATTTAATCCAAATCTCTCTTAAATCACCGTTACTCTATAAGTGCAAGTTGTTGTTATTACTACATCAGCTTCACTGGCCTTTGCAATCAAGCTTTACACATTCCCATATCTCTCCATGTATTTAAAAATATATATATTTAACAAGTGGTTGGTGCATATACCCAGTGATCCTTTAAAGGGACAGGAAAGCGAAGTCCAAAGTTTCCCCACACCTACAAACACACATCCACAGACGGGCCAATTTAGTTCACTGCAGCCTTTCACTCCAGTGAACCTGGTGATTTGAACTGACGGCTAATAATGGAGGCTGCTCCTTTGTAAGATGTATGATGATCAACAATGAGTCACCGGCAATGGATCCTAAACTCGAGGAGATCCGCTATCGATACTTGTCAAATGCGGATCGAGCAAAAGGATTGTTACTTGACGTGGTGGAACAATTGAGTAACGGGTTGCCTTTCTGAAACGCACCTGCCCGGTGTTCTTCAAGCACTCGATGGCCTGCTTATGAGTGATTCCCTGCAGACTGATCCCATCCACCTCCAGCAGGCGATCCCCTGCCGAAACCAAGAAGGACATCACGGTCGTTGTGACCTTAGTTTGACTTAAGCTTTGAGGGGGAGCGCAAAGCAAACACCACTGAGCAGATTTGGTTGAAGAATTCCCTTTGGTCCGTTTGATATCATTTGTTCCAGAATTATCAACCCTACCCGGGCCCTCGCATCCCAGCATTGAGCTGTAGCTTTTTTTCGGTCAGCCGGGTGTCTGACACATGCGGAAACCCATCACCACCCTTAAGAGTCTCCAAACCAATCTGAGAATTCCATGCATCCCACTTACGCATGAAGGCTCCAGAGATAGATTGTTGGAATGGAGTGTGCACTCTCTCCCTGGAGGGACCCATCCTGTTTACCTAATTGTGGAAAGTGTTAGGCACAGGTTGGCAAGAACCAAGACTTAGGGTCCCCAGAGTGTGCGTTGAAGTAAGTACAGGAGTCTAACCAGCTAAAACCTCTGTACCTGCTGCACATCTCTCTCTCTCTCTTTTTCTCTCTCCGTCCTTCCTACTTTCAGTAGCTGAACTTTGAGCTTCTGGAAGTCCCTGCCAAAATCCCACTACCTCGCTCCCTTCTCTTCCCCGCCCCTCCTCACAAAAGCCTCCTTAATAAGCTGCATCTTTGGCCATGCTTTTGGTCACCTGCTCCTGTGATTTTTTTAGTTCTCTCAAAACTAAGATAAGTCCATGACAAGCAGATCATTTGCAATCAATCCAGTTTCAAATGTGCTAAAGCAGCTCTTTTCATTCAGCATATCTCTTGTGACAGCTTCGAACAGCACTGTTTCCCCCCTCCTCCCAGCGCATTGGAAATTAACCAAATTCCCCCTTCACAAACTCATCCCCTTTAATAAATGAATACATTACCTTTCCTAATTTGATTATCAATGTCAGCTGCTCCTCCAGGAATGATAGCCTTTATGTATATCCCACCCTGCTTCACGCTGGTGTTCACCCCGCCCTAGGGAACAGAAGAACATCACGCTTTTACGAGTCAGCCATTGAATTTAACACTCTTCATGTAGGGTAACCTCTCGAAGCTTTGCAGGGAATGTGCCAAGACAATTTGTGGGGCAAATTGCCTGACGCATTTGCCTAGAAAATGCATAGTCACTACACATTACAGGAAATCCTGTGAGGTGATTTGAGACATTTCAATGATGTGATAAGGCGCTGTATCAAAAGCAAGGATTATTTATTTAGTTTATTACATAATTATAAATTGTCTGCCTTGTAATTCACATGCAGGATGGTTCCCCCCTCCCTCCCAACCCCCACCCACACACACATAGACTAGTTTAAAAACTTCCTCCCATTACCCTGTTGTACACCCCCTTTTCATCCAAACTCACACCAGGGATTCTAACCTACTGTCGATTCCTCTCCTTGTGTGTTGGATGTCACTGGCACAAATTAGCTGCTGTATTTACCTCTGTAACAACATTGCCTTCATTTCTAGTTCATCTGGTTCTGTGCTGTGCTTTTCACACAGTTATACGACATGAAAGGCTTCAATATAAACTTAGGGGATCATATCGTTCATGTCTGTTTTTAATGCTCAAACTGAACTTTTACACTGGCAAGCCATACACCACACATAACAGTGGACAAAGAATCGCACACTTAAAGTGACGTGACATGTAGCTACAGGGTTTAATATCCAATTTCTTCCACGGAGATGGATTGCGAAGATTTTTCTGATGTATTTCTATGGTATTACAGCACTATGGTGCCTTGGGACGTCCTATACAAATGAAAGGCGCTATACAAATGTAATCTTGTTGTTGTTGTTGTTGGTACAGACAGACAGTGAGGGAAGTGGAAAAAGTCTTATAGGCAACAGTAAGGGATGCTCTTGTGAGGGTGAAATCCAGGGATAGGATGTGAAAACTGGTGGGTAGGTTGCCTTCTACAATGCAGCAGACCCATGTTATACCTGACCTGTAAGGACTTCATTCTGTTACTGACTGCAGAGTGGAAATTGTTCCATTTCCCAGGACCGCTCTCCCTCATCTTGCGCAAGTAGAAGTGGGCAAAAGAAAGAAACAGAATGAAAATAGGTAGAAAATTTGAAATGAATCAATACAATTTGGAGTAAAAACATGCCTCTTTCTAACAAGCTCAAGATCTGAGCTCTTTTGGCTCGGGACCGTGGCTTGCTGCGGTGGCAAGAGATCAAACATTGACAAGTGTACAGTAGATATGGGCGGGTGAGGGAGAATAATCCTGTGTAAAGAAAGACTTGCCAATGTGCACAATTAACTGTGACATCTTGGGACGTCCTCCCAATGCGAAAGGCGCTATACAAATATAATTTGTTGTTGTTATGACATGTGTCGGTGCGTCAGGCTGGCACAGTGAAGGCACTCTGGTCTCTGAGTCAGAAGTGGCTGACATCTGCCTGTTCAGGTGGATATTAAAGATCTCGTGGCATTATTTGAAAAGAGAAGGGAATATCTCTCTCCCTGGTTTCCTGGACAACAATCCCCCAAATGAAATTGGTCACTCATTCCCGGCTGTCTGTGGGACACATTACTGTGCACAATTGGCTGCCGTGTTTCGCCCACAAAATATACAGTAAATCCACTTTACAGTTCATCTTGTGAAGCACTTTGAGACGTCACGATGATGTGATAAGGCGCTATATAAAACGCAAGGATTATTATATTATTATGAAGAGCCAATATATGTTCAGCAGTCAACCAAATCAGACCCTGTAATACTTACTGTGACATTAACACCGAGGCTGTTGTCTATTTTCACCAACTCTACACAGTATTTCTCCCCTGTGTGTTGGTCCTTTGCTTTTGTTGGTGTCTGACACCTGTTCTGTTGATGAAATCATAGAGCATGCATGCTTATACGTCTAGCAGTAGCAACCTGTTTAACCACCATATTCTCCCCCCCCATCCCCAACCTCCATGTATATGCACTAAGCACGCTATTGGTACTTTGCATTTGCATCTTCAACCTTCCCTGCATTCGAGGTATACTCTGTCCTTCTGAAATGCTTCTTCCATTGTTTCACAAACAAATGTTATCATTTGAATTGTGTGGAAATGGGCGGTGGCATCAATTTCCCCGTGACTCCATTGCGACCGAAACGACACAAGGGTCTACTGACTTATCTCACTGCGCAATTAAAATAGTGCAGCGCATTTGTGTCTGACTGTGTCTGTCGTCTAACCACGTTAGTGAACTGCTTTTTGTGTTACTGACCAACCACACAGAATTACATTGCAGCACAGAAACAGGTCAGTCAGCCCAACAAGTCTGCACCGATATGTATGCTCAACACGAGCCTCCACTCCCTCCTATACCCTACTCCCTCATCTGTGCATTATGTTAAATTATATCCTACACATTTTCAACACTCCTTTTTAAGGAAGATTTAACAAATTCTCCAAAGAAAAAGAGGTCATAATAGATATGTGGCAGCACCAGCCTTTTGAATAGGGAATGTTTCAGGTAGGGTTGGGCCAGCCAGTTGTTGTCATTATTTAATGTGTTTACCTGGGAGCCAGCACTTATCTGTGCATCCAACGCACTGGCCTGGGGACATGGTGATTCGATCTTAAGAGTCTTGGGCTCCGTTATCTCAGGCTCCACCTGATCGTGGCTCATTTTTTGCTCAGCGTCAGACAATTCATTGTTGTGTGTGTATTCTTCATGCAAATCAGCGATGGTAGCTTTTTCAGTGTCTCCACTCACGGTATCAACCGTATCTAAAAGCACAGGTTTACAAAAGATTTTTCCAAAAGATACAGTCACTACACTTGACAGCTATTTCCCATTAGGTGTTTTGGGACGTATTAACACTATAAGGGTGAGTGTGTGTGTGGTGCATGTGTGAATAAATACTTCCTGTAAATGATGTGCATTTATATAATAATCCTCGCATTTGATGTAGCATCTCATCACTCAATCAAAAAATCTCACAGGATTTTACTGAAAAGTGAATTGTATATTTGTCCCACAAACAGTTATGAAATGAATGATCAATTTTATTTGGGGGATTGTCTCATCTGGAGGATGGCACCTCTGACAATGCAACACTTTCCTCAGTGTAGACTCAAAGTCCCCGACGTGATATTTGAAGCCACATCTATCTGACTCAGAGGTGAGAGTCCTACCAACTGAGCCAGGCTCAGATATGGTTGAAGGGATAGTTACAAAACCCATGCAATCTCTCCTCATGAGGATCAGACAGAATAAATAACTCCCTTCACAAAGATACCTTGTCGACAAATGCTTCAGATACACAAGCTGACTTTAGTCTGTAACCAATTACTCAGACTCGTTGCTGTACCAATGAATCATTCCTGGCTCTACAGTCCTGGCATTTAGCCAAATGCCCATAAGTGATGTGCTTGCTCCCTGGTGCCGTCTGGCAAATTTCAAGGCTTCTTCGTGCTAAGTAGGACAGCAGCTGTGTGTGGTCATGAGAAACAGACCAGGAATGGGTGCATTCGCTCCCCTCTGGGCCTTCCCTTTACCTCATTTGTATTTTTAAATGTGTGCTCATCAAATTGATGGATGAGAGTAAGCCGGGAACAGAATTGCGGTCACAACGCCTGGGCCCATTTGTGACCCAGCAGAGAGAGAATGAGAAAGGAGGAACCTTTGCCTCTTTTTCCTGGGCTGTCTTTGAAATCTGAACCCAGGACTGGAAGCATAAGATGTAAATAATAATCCTAACAATTATTAAACGCATTTGATGTAACGCCTTTCACTAAAGCCCCTTCAGAGTTTATCCCTGTGTCCTAGCCAACAATCCCCCAATAAAATTGGTTGTTCATTTCATGGCTGTTTGCTGGACTTTGCTGTGTGCAAATTGGCTGCCGAGTTCACCCACAAAACGTAAAATCATTTCACTTTACAGTACATCCTGTGAAACATTTTCAGACATCCTTGATTTAAGGAGTACAATAAATGCAATGCGAGAAATATTTTGCTTTTAGTTCAAGACTAACCAGGTTGATCACAGGTTGACTTGCCTACAAATTATTTTTATATTTTTAATTTTTAAAAAAATATATTTTTGCCTACAATTACACAGTCACTCCATTTCACAGTAATTCCTGTGAAGCCGAGTTTATTCGTTTCTAGTTTACTACTAGAATGGCAAAACCAGAAATTCAAACGAATAGTGAACCTGTGGAACAGGCTCCCACGGGAGACAATTGAAGCAGGAAGTGTTGATTCTTTCAAACACAGATTAGATAGTTTTCTTTTAGAAAATAACATTATGGGATACAATACATAAGTAGTTTGGGACATATGTGCATGCAACCGCCAGGAAGGTGGAAGGCAAACTAGATGGTCCTTGGTCTTTTTTCGTCGAGTATTTCTTATGTTGTTAAGTGGTATGAGACATCCTTCCGATGTAATAAGGCACTATACCAAATACAATGATTATTATTATTAATACAATAATATATCCTGCAAAGCTCTTTGAGAATCCTGGACAATTTGGTAAGGCGCTGAATCAATTACAACAATTATTATTATTTATTATCAATGTCCCTTTCTGGTTGTGTACAACCTACATTCTGATGCCACAGCGCTGCCTCATTCAGAGTATAAATTGCAGATAATTGCCGAGCTCAAGGCGAGGACTCAGGGTGAGGGCTCAGGGCGAGGGCCGAGGGCGAGGGTACCTTTGGACTGAGAAATGATGAGTGCCACCTCGTCAGGGGAATTCTGCAGAATGTCCGCTGCCGTTCTGAAAGTCACTCCCTCCAGGCTCACGCTGTTGATGGAGATCAGACGGCTCCCTATTGGAAGCCATGAATTAGCAGTGTAACAATTTACAGTCCTTTATCAAGCCCAAGCTCAAACCCTGACCCTGCCCGCCTCGCAAAAAGGCACCAGGTTAGCTGTTACCTGTTTTGATGTGTCCCTCCTTTTCCGCGGGTCCTCCCGGGATCACTGACGCAATGAAAATACCCAGATCTAATTTCCCCGTGCTCTCACCTCCGACGATGACAAACCCTGGGAAAAGAGAGAGAGAGACAGGAATAGTTTGAGCTCTTGTTGTCTTATTTTATTTTACATTTCCATCGTGCAGTCACCTTGGACGCACATCGCACATTTCTTTGACTATCAGTCAATTTGCAGAGTTCCAGCACTGGACTCAGTTAGTGAAAGTTCAACAATGTCCCTAGTGTTGAATTGGATCCCGCAGTTAAAATAAGTAATGTTTTTGCATAGTTGGTCGTGGCAATGGGAGGGAGGGCTGGGTTTAGGTGTGTCTTTCTAACCAGTTATTTTTCCTTATAATAATCACCCTAATTTCCCCAATAGTGTCTCTTCAGCCTTTACAAGACATATCTCAGAGGGGACCTTGTCGATGTGTATTAAGAAGCTAAAAAAGATAGAGAAAATAAACCCAATTGATTTCATTCTCCCAGGACACTCACTCTGCCATTGTTCAGCTCTTCGAGACCCTAACCCATGTGAAGGGCACTCTATAAATGTTGTACCATCTTGCTCACAATAGTATCAAGTTGTTTCTTAAATAAATCCAATGTCATTGCTTCAACCGGTAAATTAGTCCAGCTGTTGATCATCCTCTGTAAACAAAAATGCTTACTGGTTGTCTGTCCTGAAGTTGCCCTTTGTAACCCTGAACCTTGTCCTGCTGCCTTGGCATGTCTGAAATTATTATTACTAATAATAATTCTAGCAGTCTATGCAGCACTTTAGCACAGTCAAAGCACTCCGAGACACTACCCTGCATGAAGGGCGCTATACAAATGCGTGCTGTTGTTGAAACATGTCAAACTGCTTCATGGCATTTAATATCAAGTGCAGCGACTGTGTATTTGCAAGCGCACTGTGTTCATTTTCTCAATTTCATTAAGCATCTCTGTTTATCTCGCCTCCGAAAAATCTCTTTTCAAGGTTCGACAGCCCAAGCTTCCCGTTCTAACAGGTCAGCAAACTCTACCAGTGGCTGGGAATTAAAAGGAATTGGGTAAGATTCCCAGTAGCAACGCCACGTAATAGCTTTCCTCAGCGCAGCTCATTAATCTCTCTGTGCTCTGCACCACAGGTCAGCTGTCTCTGCAGTCAATTTAATAATTTAGTTTTATTCCTGATCTGAATGAAATTTTATTCCGGTGACGATTTTACTCCCACATTGTGAGGGGAGGTTTCCTGTGCCCTCTCTGTACCATGTCCTGTGCACTTCATTAAATCTATTCACTCCAGGGAAACAGCTGAAAATCCATCCAGGTCTCTGGGGAATGGGAGAAGGAAGCACAACCTAGCCACTGACTGATTTATACGAATAGGTTCCCAAAGCGAAGCCACCCGACATTAAAGGATCCAGTTTATAATAATAATCCTTGCATCTGCATTTGATATCGTGCCTTATCATGGCAAAGAGATGCCTTAAAGTGCTTCACAGGAATTACTGTAAATTGCAAATCCTAGGAACAAATCACAAAGATTTTTGCTGATGAATTATGAATGAATTAATTAATAGCGTGCAAATTGCTGCATGAATTAACTTGCTCAGTGCTTTCTTAAGATGGTTACGGTTTGATATCGCCGCTTTGGTTTTCTGCAGGAGCTTGTTGCTTGTTTCCTGACCCCCGCTACTGATGTCTGGCAGGGTAAAATTAGCAAGAACATGCATCGAAAGCATAGCTCAACGTCCCACCTACCAAAGCCAACTTGAGGATCTTTCTTCAGTTTCACAAAGATGATCTCTCTCTCGGGCAGAGTCGGGCTGCTGTCTACTCGTTCGTTGAGCGTGCCTGCGGATAAGCATACGAGCTTGCTTAAGCTGTTGAAAAGGGCAGCCCCAGCACGTTTTCAATATACTTTGTCCTCTACATGAGCCTCCACCCATTCTAATTCCCCCTCCCTTGCCTCGTCATACCCTTCTATCCCCTTCTCCCTCACATGTACTGAGCATGCAACACATATTCACAGACATGGGAGGAATTTAAAGAAGAGAAGAGGTGGAATAGAACTGATCTCTCCTCGTGGGATACACAGATTTGACGAGAATGCAGCATTAGTACATTGGAAGGATTAAATGTTACAGTACGGAAAGAAGATTGGTCATTCAGCCCAATGGGTATTTTTCTCCCCAGGAACTACTCTAATCCCACTCTCTTGCTCGTTCCCCCGTTGCTTTAATCTTCCTCCTTTTAAAAGCATCTAATTCCCTTTGATAAGAATTTACGGGACTTTAATTTAATGATGGATTTTGGCAGAGAATTCCACATTCCAACCACCCTCTGCACGGACTTGCTCCCCCCTACAGCTGAGACCTACTAACCCCCTACCATCCTGTTCGCTCCCTCCGTTCAGCAGGCTCTGGCCTGCTTCACGTCCCCAACCTTGCTTGCCCACTATTGGGCAAGCAATAGAAACTCCATCCCACAGTCCCTCCGCCTCACCGCCTCCCTTGCCACCTTCTAGACCCATCTCAAAACCCTCCTCTTCGACCGTGCTTTTGATCTCCCTGCTTCCCCCCCCCCTCCCTTGCCCTCCACCCTTCCCCACCCCGACCCCCAGCTCGGGTCCGTAACTCTGTCTGTCCAGCGGCTTGGGACGTCCTCCCGGCGTGAAAGACGCTTTACAAATTTAATTTTGCTGTTGTTGTGTGGAGTGGATGTCTCTTTGCAATGAATCTCTGCGCACTTTGTCACACACACAAAGGCATTGTGTGAACCAGCCTTGAGATACATTAAATAAAAATGGTACTGAAGGTAAATGAACATTTCAGGTCATTTTCAATAAATAACACCAATTTAAAAAGAGATTTCACTTAAAGTGTTTTTTATGTCAGCGCGGAAGAGGCTTGAATTTGGGCTGGTAAAATAATTCAGACTCGTAAGCCCCCAGCAGGAAATCTATTCAAATATTGGCCTTATCATGGAGTTTGCCTGCAGGTTGCTTTACTTTGATTGATATACGGCCTGAGGGCCTTTCCTGACATGTTTTTAATGGCGCTACAAGACAGGTTGTGAATCGCAGCAAACACTTGAGTTTGTTCAGCATCCCTTCTTTGGAAACCTACGTCTGCCCCATTTTTGAAGCGCTGCTGAATTATGTGTCTCTCACACCCCTTGTCAAGTGATGCACGAGTCATTGTGACAAGTGACACTGGGACTTTGGTTGGAGTGGTTTCCACTGCTTGCAAGGCTGCTTTCTGTACAAGCCACAGAGCTACCGAAGCAAGCCAGGGTGGAGCCAAAAAAGCAACAAAAAGAACAATAATTATTATTTTTATTATTATTAACTGATTGAGTGTATTAATAACCTATTAAAGTAGAAATGTCTCTCCGCTCTGCGGGCTCCGGCCTGCTTCATGTCCCCTGCCTCGCCCGCCCAACCATTGGCGGGCGGGCCTTCTGCCACTCTGCCCTCACCCTCTGGAACTGCATCCCAAAGTCCTTCCACCTCAAACCTGCCTCCTTCAAGACCCATCTCAAGACCCTCCTCTTCAACAGTGCCTTCGATCACCCTCCTTCCCCCCGCCCTCCACCCTCCCCGATCGCGACCCCTAGCTCGGGTCCGAAACGCTGACTGTCCAGCGCCTTGGGATGTCCTCCCGATGTGAAAGGCGCTATACAAATGTAACTTTGTTGTTGCTGTTGTCTTTTGTGGGTAGCCAATTTGTGTACGGCAGTGAATGACCAATTTTATCTGGCAGATTAGCGGTCAGGATATCGGGAGAAACTTCCTTCTCTTTTTAAATAGTGTCATAGGATCTTTAAGCATCTGGAGCTTGGTTTAACATCTCGTCCAAAGGACAACACCTCCAACAATGCAGCATAACAGTTTCATCTTAGACTGTAAGCTCAATGACTCCGATGTAGAGGCTTGAACCCACAACCTTCAAGATGCTGAATTCTCTGCTTATTGATGAGTCAGAAAAGCAAAACGAGTTTGCGAGATTATTGCACAGATCAGGACTTACCGGCTCCCGCGCTTTGACCTGAGATTGCGTACTGTAATTCCAAACCTCGGAACTTCTCTTGTAAGGCTGGGAGAATTTCTGACTGAGAGGCGCCACCGGCTGTGCTGCAGAAAAAACAAGGGCAGCTCTGTTATCCGGGTTGCACATCCAGTCTGTGTTCAGACCACATTAGTAAATGGGAACGTCGCCTCTGTTGCAGAGGGCCAGCATTCTGGATCATAAGAATGTGTGGATGACAGACAGTTAATTGGACATTCAAGCAAAACTGTGGACTTCACCACTCCACCTCCTGGTGGTACAGTATTATATAGTTAATACTTGAATCTCAAAAATAGTCATCCAAAACCTGCCAACATTTTCATCCATCCCAATATCTCTACCATTCCAAAAATTGTCATGTGTTCCCCCCCTCCCCCACCCCATAGAAAACTTTTCCTCTGCTGGGTCTTCTAAATCTTCAATAAAGTATTCATCGAGAACAACACAACAAACAACTTGCATTTATAAGGTTCCCTTCACATGGGATTGGGATAGCATCTCGGTGAGCCTAACATTTTCTATCAACCTTAAGTTTTGAGACAAAATGTTGCTTCAGGCTAAGATGAGGTGAAATTTCAGGCCCTGTGAGTTTCTATCTTGGAAGAAGAACGTACGTACAAGTCTACATTTTCTGAATGCTTATCTGTGTATGTGACTGAATCACACCTGCCAAATCGCCCAAGACACTGGCGCTCTCTAACCTACCTCCATGTGTGTCCGTGGGGAGGGTCGGGATCCATTACATCTGAAATGAGGTTATCACAGGATTTGCTCAATGCCCCAACTGATAGGCCATCAAAGATGGAACGGTTCAATGTGGTCTCTGAACGGGACACTTTACGCATCTCTTCAAAGCGTCTTCGCTGAGCGTATCTCGTTGAGGTTAAATCGTTGTATGTAAAGATCTGCCCCTCTGTGAAGAAGAAATAATTACAGTACTTCCTCCATCTAAAAATTGTGTATAGTGTATCTCGCTGTATAGAATGTCTACCTGGCTCAATGTTGCCCCCCCCCCCACACTGCCACCCTCGTTAAACCAAGTTTGTGTCTGCCATGATCCCATGGCACTATTTGAAAAGAGAAGGGAGTTTCTCCTGGTGTCCTGGCCAATAATCCCTGCCCCAAAGATCAGTTGACCATAATTTACCTAGTTTTCAGATTAAAACTAAATTTAATGTATTTTCTACATTTCTGCACAATCTTAAATGATGTGACAAAGATCATGATACATTTTAGACCCCAGACATATATCCTTCCCCTGGACTTACCAGCAGTGAAGGCCGCTTGGCTCAGTTGCCGGGAGTTCATCTGCATCTGGAACTTGTGCTGGGCTGAGCACAGCTCAATGAGGTATTCGCAGGTTCTGGCGCTGTCCGTGATAAAGATGTGCTTCTTTCCATCTGAACTGCTCTGTACAGTGAACTTTTTCCTCTGAAATGAAAGGGGTTGGGGCTGAGGTCGTCGGTGTGATAGTACAACTATGTCCTAAAGGGGTTGGATATATACCGGAAAATTAAAAAAGAGGGGAGGGATTGAGGGAATGTGTTCCAGAGTTTCGGGGCGTAGTGGCTGAATGAGGACTCACAACCTGAGGAGTCAGAGCTGCGAGTACTGCCAACTGAGCCAGGCTGACACAGTGATATGCGGTAGGTAAAAAGTACGGCTTCAATGGGTTTCAAGCAGTGTCCATCACAACAAACACAATGTCACCTGGTTTCTCCTTGACCTCAGTATAATAGAGCATTATTGCTTATATTGATTTTCTATCATTTTTCTTAAGCATAATTGCTAAACGAGCAAGATACAGTATAAACGCACATTGAACAAATTAGCTGGAGATTGATACTCCAGCATTGCTCCTGATGGAGTCCAAGGCTGCGATATTTACAATAACACAGCGTTTTAAATCCACTTAAAGAGCTTAGAGTGCGATATTTGGATTGATGATGAATTACTATATTAGCATTTACAGCATTGAGAAATGGAATAATAGCATACTCAAAACGAGCTTCCTTTATCACTATGATTTCAGCAGAATAAGCTCAGCTTGGGTGTGTGGTGGTGGTGGGGTGTTTAGAAATCCGCTCTGAACAGGAGTAGCTCAATCCACGTTGTGTGTGGATTGAGCCACCTCTGTGATAAGCATGCTGAGGCTCCAACGGATGAGATTACAGGAAATCACATAAGTCATATCCTTTGGGACCATACATTTAATATGACTTATGCAAAGTGTGAGTTATGTCAAACTTGCATAAACTATTGAACAGGACTTGGACAGATGTAAGACTTAGGGGATTATATGATTTACACAGATCAGATTTTTAGTGTAGTTACAGTTATTCCACCTGTCACAACCAATTTGTGACTGTCACCCTGGCAGGGGAGGAGAGGTAACTGGGGATCTTATTGGAGCTGTACTGACTCCGAAGTGACATGCCAAGCAATGGAACGTCAGAATCCAGTCAGCCCTCTGTGAGGGTCTCAGTAGTCTGGTTCCTGAGCTAGGCGGGTCCGCAGTATTCCAGGGCACTGCTGATCACAGTACAACGACAACAACAAAATTACATTTATAGAGCGCCTTTCACGTCGGGAGGACGTCCCAAAGCACAGTACAGCCAACCGAGCTCATTGGCAGAACCTAGAAGGGCAGATCAGTCACTGGGAGAAGGGAGTCATCCGACTGAGCTCCTGTTAATCGCCTCGCTCCTCCTTAGCCTCCTTCAAGTCCCGCCTCAAAACCCTCCTTTTCGACCACTCGATCGGTCACGCCGCCTTCCCCTCCCCTCCCTTCTTCCTCCCTGACCCCCAAATTAATAAATGTAATAAATCTATTTAATAAATGCTGTACATTGATTAAATGCTGAAATGTACGTCCTCCCAATGTGAAAGGCGCTATACAAATGTAATCTTGTTGTTGTTAACCCTAGCTGGACAAGCAGCAGAAAATCTTTCCGGACAGCAATATCAATGGCAAGTTAATGTGTTTTAGCTGATTTCAGCTATACCCCAATACACGCTCTGGGATTCCCAAGCCTTGGCTCTTGCCACGCTATGTCTAATACTTTCCACAATTAGGTAAGCAGGATGTGTCCGTTCAGGGAGAGAGTGCGCATTTCATTCCAACAATCTCTCTCTAGGATTTCCATGGGATGTATGGAATTATCAGCTTGGTTTGGATACTCTTCAGCACAGTGATGGGTTTCTGCATGTGACAGACATCCGGCTGACCAGAAAAAAACTGTTGTGGTCTGTTATCAAACAGGAGTTCCACTTACATTGAAGCTGATCCTTTCGGTTTCACGCCACTGAAAGCGTAGGCTGGCAATTCTGGTCGTGTTCTTCACCTCGTACACCATTATTCCCTTGGCGCAGATCCCCAGCACAATTTCTCCCCCTGCCACCTTCTTGTCCCGGGCCACACGATGGAATAGCACACCATACTCCGAGAGCTGCTGAGTAACCTGCAACATGGCAGCAAAGCACTGGGCTAACGCATGACAATGGCGGACCCAGGGACGAAACCAGACGATGGTGGAAATGCATAACACCTCTAAAAACCAACTCAAAGAGAAAGGCTGTGGATGATGTGATTCTTCATTAGAAGACCTGTGCCTGGAACATTGCTCTCTTTGTATCTTCTAATTGCTGGGCATTGTGGGCAGAGATTCTTCCCACTCAGCTCCTGTTAACCCTGCAAGCCAAAGCCCTAACTGGTTGGGTGGGTCCTAGTCGGACAAACAGCGAGAAACCTGCCAGGCAGTGCAATTGACAACAAGATATGAGGTTTTAGCTGATTACCCCAACACATATTCTGGAATTAGCAAGCCTTAGCTCTCGCTAACCTGCGCCTAATACTCTCCGGGATTAGATAAGCAAGGTGCCTCCCTCCAAGGAAAGAGTGCAAATTCCATTCCAGACAAAGGGAAATTTCCCTGTGTAGGTGACACTCACATGTAGACCTCTGCCTGGTTTGAATGTTCTTTGGCATGCTTCCTCATTCAGACCTCCTGCCCAGCCTGCGTTTACTATATTTCTGTTGTTATTTCACATCTGTAACACTCGTCATTAGTGACTCACTTTTTTCTTTGGGGTCAAAATTCATAAATGCGTCACGTTCTTTATTTAAGGAACAACGTTAAAATGTTTTGAAGCATTCGGATGGCGGGACGGAGAGAGTGAGGGACAGGCAGCAGACTCAAAAAGGAAGAGAGGAGAACATTGACAGTAGGGATGGGTGTGGAGGAGATGGGACTGAGGGCAACGTGACACACGTGGACTATACCTTCAGATACTCCAGCTCTGCCTCTTCCTCAGACAGACCAAAGTAAGTGGCATGAAGTCTGGGCAGCTCCTCCTTTACGCAGGTAATAGCCATTTTTTCCATGACACTGGAAGGGATATAGTGCTCAATCTGGAATTTGTTCTTGATGTGCACCTTAATGGAGGGAATTCACTTGATGTTATCAGCCCTAGTCTGTGGTTTGTACAATTACAGCAATGATATTTAGATTTATACAGCGCCTTTCACATCAGGAAGGGAAGGGAGCTTTTCCCGGTGTCCTGGCCAACAATACCCCCGAATAAAATTGATCACTCACTTCACAGTGACCAAGTGGGACATTACCGGTGCAAAACTGGCTGTCGCATTCGCCAACAAAACACACACTCACTCCACTTTACAGTACAGTAAAACTCGCATAAGTCATCTTGGTTGGGAATCGTATTAGACTATGAGCCTAAAGTCCCTCTAGGGCTCCTTCTGACTCAGAGGCAAGCGTGCTATCAATTCAGGAAAGTTGACACTAACTTCAGGGATTTAGGTGTCAATGTGGGTCCCTTGGGCATTTTCTCCCCTCCATAGCCCAGGGAGACTGAGGCCAACTGTTCCAACTTCATAAATGATTCGGCTGACGTAAGCTAACTCAACACAAGCGGTAGATTTAACAAAGGTCTGTCTGGTCTGTGTTACTCAGTGTCTCTTTTTATCAGAGGAGCTCCTGGTACAGAAGATTGCAAAGTATCCTCGGGGAGCTGTCAACAATATTCATTGAACTACACCGCAATATTTTACATTAGGAGATAAATGACTAAAACTCAGGTGATTTCTTTGTGCCTGAGGATAACGGTTCAGGCTCGGTGGTGTATAACTGGACATTAGCTGTAAATAATCACATATCGCACACAGTGTAATTCAAATTTGGAAGTCTGATCATATTTTATTTCTGGATTGCGAGTGCGATCGAGTCACTAGCGGAGAACGTCTTTCTGTCATCTCTCCGTCCAGGAGGTTGCAATCTCCGGTGAGTTAGGCCAGAGGTCAGGAAAATTAAAGTTCAGGTGTATTAATAATATTATTGGATCTCCTTTACCAGGCTGACATTCAGTGACCTGCATGCTGTGCCTGAGTATAGTGTACAGTGCTCCGCAACACATGGGAGCTGCCATGGTTGACACAACACAAGGGGGCTGCCCAGTCCGTACAGACAGCTCAGAGGAAAGCCATGAGGATGATTTCCAGTGTTTGAGGAACAAACTTCTCCTCACCTCCCCTCTGTTTCTTTGTCCATAATTTGGATTGAGGGACCAAATTATTATACATTTATTTTGAAGGGATTATTAGCCCCAGAAAGGCATCTGCCAATCGCCTAATATCCAGGTTCCGAATTACTGCCGGGTAAACAGAGGAGTCTAGAGTATGGAAACTTGCCTAAGATTTTGCCCTGCCTGGGAATCGAACGCGGCTAATCTCTCTTGTAAGGCGAGTGCTCTAACCAATATGCTACGGATCTCCTTTTTGTGGACGTTGTGGGGTGGACGTACCTCTGGCACATAGTCTCCATACTCCGCCTGGAGAGCCAGGGCGCCGAGCTGTAGTGAGGTCTCCTCGCTGCAGTACAGACGCTCCTCCAGGATGTCTTTCCTCAGCTGCAGGTAGTACTGATGTCTGGTGAGGCCGTGCCTGAAATCAACGTCCAATTCATACAAGGCGATTTGTGTGAGGTGATGCCATTCTGCTGCGTTCTCATGTTAATCGTTGCATTATGATACAGCCGACCTACAAGGTCGAAACGTCTCAAAGCGCTTCACGGAGCTTTACTGTCAATACGGTGTGTTCGTGGGCATTGCAATACAATGGCCCAAATGGAGTTTGTGGAATCTAGTCATTCCAAGTCACTATATAAAAATAATTTCACCTACAAAATACAGTCAATCCACCTTACAATATATGAAGTGCTTAGGGACGTCTCATCAGAATGATAAGGTCCTATATCAAATGCAAGGATTATTATTGCTAACAAGGAATCTTGCCAGATGGTGGGTAAGAACAGACTGGCAGGAATGATTTCAGCCAATTAACTGTGATATACTGTCCCGTTATCGTCAGGAATCTTCATGTGTGACTCTCACTCTCCAGGAGCGAATGTGATTGCTAAACGCCACTTTTTATAGCCTTTTAACCCCGCTTTCCCTCTCTCTCACACACACTCTTTCTCACTCTTACTCTCACACAAATATAGATATGTGTAGACATATCTATAATATTAAATCTGCTTACAACCACTTGCATTTATATAGTGCTTTTGACATAGGTTAACGTCCCTGAGCACTTTAGGACGGTGGGGTCAGCTGCTAAGAAAGGGGAAGTGAAGGTGACCATATGCATGGTCAAAGAGGTAGGCTTTAAACTGGGATTTAATAACATATTATTATTATTAGATAGAGAGCGCGCGAGGATGAGGTTAGTGGCAGGGAATTCCAGATGTGAGGGGCATGGTGACTGATGGCTTATTGTGAATAACCTATTCCAGGGAATTAAGGTGTGATCTCATATTGGGGTTGTGGATCTTTGCTGCAATACCCTGGGAGTCGGCGATAAATGTCATGGAGCTATGTCTTCTTCCATTACTAACCTATGGAGGTTTGGCTTGATCAATTGAATTGGTTGGGTAGAATCTATGGTAGAGCATGGTTTTGGACATGGCCTGCAGAGTGAGTGTACGTTCATCGGCCAAAGGGCCTTTCATGGTTTCACAGGTTGTCATGATATGAATGCCTTTCCTCTGACAGTCAGTGTGCGTCACATAGCAGTAAGCTGTGACAATCACAGTCCTGAGTCTGACACAATTTGCGAATGGTGTATTTCGACTTGTCACGTTTTGTGCAGGTAACTTACTGAATTAGGCTGAAGTTCTCGACAAAGAACTTTATCCTGAGGAAAAGCGTGAAGTTGACGATTATCGACTTCCTCTTTGACTGATCCTTCCACCCGTCCGGTGCCACCTTGTGCAGCTTGGTTTCGTGGTCAATGAAGAAGAACTCCTTCTCTGTAAAATATAATAGAGATCGTCTTCACTGGGACTTCACTCTTTAAGCTCTCCGAGACGCTGCCCAGTGTGAAGGACTCTATATAAATGCAAGTTGTTGTTGTAGGCACCAGCACAGGGTCTGTAGTGATCTTGAGCATCTACTTGTTTTCTTCAGTCAAAGCAATTCACATGAAATTCGGATTCGTGGATTAGACTATTTCAAACTACGACGACGACAATTTACATTGATATAACGTCATTCACATATTATAATGTATAGCTACCGGTTCAGATGCAGAGCAAGGGATAAGGCAGAGGTGACCACAGATGTGCTTGAAGGTGGAATTTAACGAAAGAAAAAGGAAGGGTGAAATGGAGGGATTGGGGTAGGGAGTTCCAGAGTTTAGGGCTGTAGTGACTGAAGGCTTGGCCACAGATGGTCGATAACTGAAAGAAATGTGTGAAAACATGATATATCACAAAGCCGTAACCAGTGTTTCCTGCCAGTAACCTTATGTATTTCCCATTGAGTTTATTATTTATCAATTGGGACCTGTCTGCTTTGTGATTCAAGTGCACATGTCGGTCCTACTCTAACTCCCCTTTCCCTCCACTCTGCTATTAATAATAATCCTTGCATTTGATATAACGTGTTATCTCGTCGTTGAGATGTCTCAAAGTGCTCCACAGAATATATTGTAGAGTGGATTAACTTCAGAGAAACATCCACAAAATACAGAGCTAATCCACTTTACAATATATTACCAAGTTTATTATTAATCTAATTCCATCCCCTCCCCACTATCTATGCTTTCTCTGGAACTCTCTCCCTCTCTGCTCTCCCTGTGTTTTGAAACCAATCAAAAAAATCTATCACTTTGACTGCCCCTTTCGCTATCAATCTCTATTCCCTTGCGCCCTTTCTCCCATCCTCCCTATCTCCCGCTCCATCTTTGTAAAGAGCTTTGAGGAGTTTTCCGACATGAAATGTGCAATACACCTTCAGGCTGCTGTTTGTATTAACGAGTTCACTTCCCAGTTGCTTTGACCTACATTCAACACCAACTTGCATTTATATGCCCTCCCCCCACCGCCCCCCTGCCCCCACCTCCAAAATTGATTGTCCCCTGGCCTCAGTGTTCTTTTGAGGGGTTGGGGAGAAGATCGATGGTGTCAAGTTTGCCTCCAGTAACAAACGTTCACCTAGTTTCCAGTTAATCTCATAGTGTGAAGCACTCAGACAAAAAGTCTTGTGGTTCTTTAATTCCTACGTTTAGCAGGAAGTAACACATGGATGGTCTCTGCACTACCAATGATATCATGGCGGCCCATCTGTGCTGATTAGTTCCCGCCAGATGCCCTCTGCCAGCCATGAAATTCAATTTTCTCATTGGACACTGGCCAAATCTTCACAAACAGGCACAAACCTATGCCCAAGAGGCAGCACATCTGAACTGAAAGAAGGTTTTTAATAATCACTTCACATGGCGCCACTCATGGTAATACTCAGAAACAGAGGGGAGTTCCACCTGATGTCCTGGCCAACAATGACCTGAATGACTGAATGCAAACTACTCCCGGCTTTTCATAGTGGGTTGGCTTTGGGGTTGAAAGGAACTTTGAAGATGTTTTTGCTTGCAACTTACCTTTCAGGTAAGCGAGTCCAAAGTAGAAATGTTCCACCAGGTTAGTGTAGGCCACGACCATATTGAACACGTCGCTGCCCTTTGACTTGGCATCGCACTTGATTTCCAGGCACTGCCCGCTGGGCATGACCACACTGAGTTCTCTGGGCAACAGGTGCACTTTGCCTTTCTTACTCTGCGAAGCAGGTGGGAAGTGAGGCTTTTATTTCTCAGCCAACAATCTGCAGTTACACAGCACCCTTCAAGGATAGCGTTTTTGAGCGCTGTGAATAAACCTCTCAGAGCATGCAATGTAATAATAATCCTCGCATTGGATATAGGGCCTTTCACGTTGGAAGGACATCTCTAAGCGCTTCACGGGATATAATAATAATAACAATAATATTAATCCTTGCATTTGATATAGCGCTTTTCACATCTTCTGGACGTCTCAAAGCGCTTCACAGAATAGACTGTAAAGTGAATTGACTGTATATTTGTGGGTGAAGTATACCTAAAAGTGTAATGTCTGTGTGTTTTGTGGGCAAGCGCAGCAGCCAATTTGCGCCGAGCAATGTCCCACAACAGCTCTGAAGTGAGCGGGCAATTGTATTTGAGGGAATTGTTGGCCATGAAACCAGCAGAAACTTTCTTTTCTTTTTCTAAGTGCAGAATACCAGCTTCAATCCTGCACCATCTTAAATGTTGAGGCAAAATGCTCTCACTAGCAAAGACTGGGTAGAATTTAAAAAGCCTCTCAAATGTTCAATTTTCTAATTTGGTAATTCAGAAGAAACATTGTGAAGGCCTATCTAAACACATTATTAGAGACAAATTGTCTTTGTCTCAGCCTCTAAAACCATTTTACTTTAAAATTTAAGATTGCACAGAATTGTGGGAATTGCTGCTGATGTCGAGTTGTGGGGTGCATTAATAGTCAATCCTTACCACGATGGAGCCAGGCAAATCCAGAGGAACTGCAGGATCTCCAGCCATTCTGATGAACTCTGGTCCTAAATGCTGATGAAAAAAGTGAATGGTGGATTGAGATTAGGGAGTTGGAATTGAAAGCCAACTCAATAACAAGGTGACAGGGAATGCTTTCGGGGACCCTACCTGTGAATCCCAAAGCAGCTCAGCTACTGACGGCAATGATATTTACAGCAGAGAAGGTGGTCTTTCAGACCATCGTGCTGGCTCTTTGGACAAGCAATCAATTCAGACCCATTTAGACTGCAGGCATTCCACATCTGCCGTTGTTCACTGTCAAATGTAGTGATTGCACTTTGTAGGTGACGTCATACTTTCAAGCGTTTCAAATTCACGACTTCTGCACTGAATGTACGGGATCTTTCACCCCATTGCCATTTGAGATGAATCGCATAATGTTGTACAGTTTTACCTGTCCCCTTGTAATTTTTGACACGCTCCTGGTACGGATGCTGGCATTACATTGGTGTGTAGGGGAGGAACGGAATTTTCCTGCGGAAGGTATGTTAGTCAAGTATGGATACTGGACTCGGTCACACTCTGAGTCCATTCTCCTTCTGTCTCAAGATGGAAATCTCAAGAAGTACATGCGGAGGAGAGTGAAGCCAACTCCGAGATATTAAGATCAAAATAATAATAATAATCCTTGCATTTGATATAGCGCCTTATCATGTCGATGAGACGTCTCAAAGTGCTTCACAGAATATATTGTGAAGTGGATTGACTGTGTTTTGTGGGCGAAACACAGCAGCCAATTATGCACAGCAATGCCCCACAAACAGTCGTGGATTGAGTGACCACATTTTTTTTGTTGTTTTGGAGGCATTATTACCCCCGGAGAGCAATCCGCCAATCAATTAACAACCAGGTTCTAAACAGAAGTGGTGAAGTAAGGAAATTTGCATAAGGTTTTGCCCTGCCTGAGAATCGAACCCAGGTTCTTTCACTTGCGATTCGAGTGCTTTAACCAATACTCTACAGGACTCCACATACACATCATACATCTTTGATTCAGCAGCCAATGTCCCATGCTCGAAGCTGAAGGTCAAATGGAATCGTACCTTCCCTTTTCTGTGCAGTGCACTGATGGCGGGCACATATCTCTGAGCCGAATTCACTCCGTCACTCAAGGTTTGAGTTTGCAGATGAGGCCCACATCTCGGCAGAGACCCGCACTCGCTCTCCTGCTGGATCTCGTTAGAGTTGGTGCTTAGACTACCACTTGCAGACCTTTTGAACAAAAGAAATCTCTTAAACAGCAACTTACACTTGATGTGGTGCCTTTTCATGTGTAAGAAATATCTTCAATTAATAGAAGAAGAACTTGCAGGTTTTTGACCTAGCTGGACAAGCAGCTTCAAGCTTGCCAGACACTGTCCTCAAAGGCAAGCTGTGTGGTTTTAGCTGGTTCTACTATATCAGTACCCCAACTCACACTCTGGAGTCTCCAAGCCTTGGCTCTCACTAAACGCCGCTTAAAACCCTCTGGAATTAGGTCAGCAGGGTGCATCCCTCCAGGGAGAGAGTGTGCATTCCATTCCAGACACTGGAATTTCCATGTGAAGGTGGGATATATATATTGAACTCAATCTGGTTTACATCTCCTAAGTGTGCTGATGTGTTTCTTCATGTGTCAGGCACGGGGTCTGACATTCTATATTATACAAATACTCTGGATAATTTACAATAAAATTCATATTCCAGTTAGCAGAACTCAAATTGAAACCAGACGCCCAGTTTTGTTCACTCCATGGTACTGTTTAGTCCAACGTGTTTCATACCATTCCATTATATCAGTAAAAGATTGCAGGTGATTATTTTTGTCTGGATTATAATTGAGTGAAATAACTGTTTTACATTCATACCTGCTGTTTCAATTGAATCTCCCATTGTCCTGCTCACGTGCACACCCACACACGAGGGCACACACACACACACACACACACAAAATCACTCTCAAACTCTCAGTCGCCCATACAGAACATTGGCACACATGCACACAATCACTTCTTTGAAATAAAATACAACTCTCTATGTATAACACATGCCTGGTCTTAGACTCAGTCTTCACAATCAGTCCTCATGAAATTGGATTAGTCACTTCCGTCAAACATTCTATTTAGAACGTTTCTGTAAGGACACCTCTTTGGTGTTTTGTTTCCTTGAGACGTGCTGTTTTTTTTTCCAATTGTACAGCAGTTCAGGGCGAAAAGATGTCAACTTAACTCAGTTGGTAACATCCTTTCTTGCCTTTGGGCACAAGACTTTGAATGAATGCAGCCCCCATGTCAGAGCCTGTGCTCGTCGTTCAATTTAATGTAGTGCTCCAGTGCAGTACTGGGGGCAGTGTTGTATTATTGGAGGTGCCATCCTTCAGATCAGACACAATGATAATTATAATCCTTGCATTTGATATAGCGCCTTATCACGTTGTTGAGACGTCTCAAAGCGCTTCACAGAATATATTTCTTTGATACATCTCGAAGATGTGATAAGGTGTTATATCAAATGCAAGGATTATAATTATTAATATTTATTATATTGTAAAATTGATTTGACTGTATATTTTGTGGGTGAAACGTGACAGCCAATTGCGCACATAATCCAAAGTCCTGTCAAGTGGACAATAAAGACCCCATGACATATTGGTAAAGCGAAGAAAGCTTCTCTCAGTGTTTGAACTAATGATCCTTATACAAAATTGGTCAATCACGTCTTTGGCTCTTCACAGGACTTTGCTGTGCGCAAAATGGCTACTGCTTTTCCCTACAAAAGACAGTCACTAGACGTGACAGTAATTTCGTGAAGTGTGTTTAGATCTTAGAAACACTATGAAACTACAACTGGTTACTTTCTTCTCAACAGCAGAATTACGCTGCAAAGTCAGCAAATATTACTGATAATTAAAAGGCAGCAAGAACAGCAGTGATCGAGAACTAATCTTGAAACGAGTGCAAACAAAACCAAAAACAAGATGGTCTTGTTTGCCTATAACGACAAGGGCATATACCGAAAACTCTGCCAAGTCAGGATTTAAATATTTTAGCATTGAAGGGGCTTTACCTGTCTGTGCAGAGCTGATAGGCACTGGAACTCCTGTTTTGCACTGTCCAGCCTGCTTGCTGATGCCAGCTCCCTGAAAGCACAATCCAATTAATTGCAAAGTCGCGCCACTTGCTAATAAAAGAAATGGGACGTCACTGTTTCTTCACCGTGCAGTTAATTCTGTGGAAGGCTTTTTTGAAGTTGTTCGTTTTTTTTNACATAACAAACATTCAAAAGAAACCACAGCTGTAAAATAAGAAGCCATGAATTCAGGATTGGCGCTCAAAGATTTAAAGTGGCCAGGTTAGAATTATTCTCCCCCTGCCTTCAGAGATGATGATTAAAATCCGCTATGTCTTGCCACAGTTCAGGTGCAGAAGCAGAGACACTAATGTTTTAGAGCAGGAATTGGAAAAGTATCTGAAGAGGAACAGTATTTCAAGGATTATGGCGAAAGGGCAGGAGATAGGTTTGGAGTAAACAGTGACAGTACAGGAGCTGACACGAGTTTCTGCTCAATGGGGCCGAATGGCCTCCTTTGGTGCTGTAATTCTGACTAGTCTAACTCTGCAAAGAAGAAGCTCACCTTGTTTATCCAATTGTCGCAACACTGAGGTGCTCTCTGCGGAGCCACTCTGAGGGTCGCTGTCCCTTGCAAAAGGGCTTCAGTCCACCCGGAAAGTGTCTGTCTTCAGTCCTTGTCCCACTAATCCGGTTAGCTGTAATAAGGTTAAGCTCCCTTTGCCAGTCAGCAGGCTCAGGGATCGACTGCCGCAGAGTGACAGCCGTTCTCGCTAAACTACTGGTGTGTCATTTCGTGCGGAAGGTGATATCAGCTGCTGCTCATTCAGGTAACAAGCTTCTGATACTGGAATGCAATCCAGTTCAGGCAGCGTTAGAGAGCATCAAGCAGTATGTTCACCTCACCTAAAGCACATAGATTTGTGCTCTTCGGTCTCTGAACACTGAATAGTTGTTACATTTTACACAAAGCTTGGTTTTAGTTTTCACTAATTCAGAACTAAATGGTCTTTTTTTTTCCTGAACTGTGTTAAAGCCACATGAAACACTTTGAGGCATCTCCAGATGTGAAGGGCACCATATTAAATGTATGGATTATTATTAGTATTAATACATGCATCCATATTGTTACAGAATAGATAGTTGTGGACTGCTGATCTAGACTTGACCTTGACAGATTTCTTAGAAATCAGCTGAGATGTCGCTTCATAAAACACCAATTTCCCAATCTACTCTTTCTTCATATAACTGAATGAAAGTCTCCTGTTACAGGAAAATGACGACTCACTTACAGTGAAATTCTAGCTTAGGGAAACGAATTGTGTGTTGTTTAGTGCAAAAGAGGGAGTAAGATGCTCTCACTGATCAATGGAAATCAATGCCTTGAAGTCAAGAAAGCATTTAAACTCTGCCTGTGCCTCCTAGCGCTGAATTGATTGCGCTTTAAAAGTCTCTGTTTCAATTCGGTGGCGGAAACGCATGACCTTGTCAACGAGGAGAACAGTCACTTTACCAGGGGGGGCCCTGAACTACAAGTGACTGCACTTCCTCAAAACCAGGCGATTGATCCCATGGGAGCTGCTGCTAAAACTGAACCGGCCGCTTCCTATGTTTCCAGCTGTCGATCAGCAACGTTAAACCAGTTGTCTCTGATAATAAAGCTGCAACATAGACATTGATATAGCAAAAGAAAGTAATCATAATACTTTAGAAAGTAATAATAATATTACGAATCCTTGCATTTGGTATAGCGCCTGATCGCATTGTTGAGACGTCTCAAAACACTTTGCAGAATATACTGTAAAGTGCAGTGACTGTGTATTTTGTGGGCGAACGCAGCAGCCAGTTTGGCAATGCCAATGTCCCACAAACAACGCCTATTGCATTGGGATGGAAATGATCCCCAGAGTGAACTTGCATCCAAAGTACTGCCATGTTTCTGTTCCCCGGCCAGCAAGCCTCCAGTTAAAGGGTCAGTCATGCCACAGCTTTGGTTGGGGATCTCGCTGGGGTTCAACTAATCTGTCGCATTTGCCTACAAATACATAGTTGCAACACGTGACAGCAATTCCTAGCGAAGCATTCTTATGCATTCCGACATTATAGGCGCTGTATCGAACGCGAGGATTACTTTGTCTCAGGGTGACAGAGGATTACGAAGGGAGGATTTGGCTGGAGCGTCCTTTAAATAAGACCGAGACACTCCTCTTTTCGAGTAAGTGTCGTGGGATCTTTAATCGTCCAGCTGAACTGACAGATGGGACCTCAGTTTAATGTCTTGTTTGAAGGATGGCACTTCTGACAATGCAGCGTCAGCATTAGATTGTAAGGGTTCTGATGGCAGGCTGGAACCCACACCCTGATACACAAGCAACAGCAACTGAGCCAACTGAGGACACTGGCAGTGGCTAAGTGGATCTACTCCTATTAATGTCAGGGAGTGAAACCAATTAAATGAACTGAGCGGGTTGGCTTTATTTAGTGCATGATTTAGTTTTGACTGTTTCATCAGAAACACTTATCTTAGAGAAACACGGTGGATTTCTCTACTTTGAGCTCACAGTGTACGCTGACACTCCAAACCAGTGTTACTGGAGCTCTGTATCAGATGAGACATTCAGATGAGATGTTAAACAAGGGCTCTTCTGCCTGTCCAGGTTAAGGATCACTGAGTTGATACCCTGTCGATACGGGAGTCCCGTGGCGTAACGGTTAGCGCACTCGCCTCACGAGCAAGAGGACCCGGGTTCGATTCCCGGCCTGGGCAAAACCTTAGGCAAGTGTTCTTACTCCACATGCCTCTGTTTACCTAGCAGTAGGTAGGAACCCAATTGCTAGTCGATTGGCGGATCGTGTTTCCGGGCGTAATAACCACTCCAGAAAACAATTTGGTCACTCGATCCACGACTGTGGGGATCCTGCTGTGGGGAATTGGCTGCCATGTGTCGCCCCCAAAAAATGCACAAGTCAATCCATTTTACAATATATTCTGCAAAGCCCTTTGTGACATTTCAACGACGTGATAAGGTGCTGTATCAAATGGAAGGATTATTATTATTATTATTTGTTGTTTTTGCGCTGAGTGGAAATGTGATTTGGGAATTGCCAGTTCGGATGGTTGCACACTGCTGGAGGTTCTACAACCAGGAAGCTGCCCCACAAGGTCATGTAAGACAATGATTACAGTTCAGTTATGCGCCACACCATTATAATTGCTCCTGTGGGAGGTGCGGATTTTAAATGGTTGACTCAAGTGATTGCTGCTGTGTTATCTCTGTGAGTATTCAAGGAATGGTTTGAGGCGTTTGAGCTGTGGAAAAAGGAGTGCGATTGTTCAGCACCATAAATAATGGCCCTGCGTAACAGTGTTGTCAATTCAGGCACGGAGGGTTGGGCAGTGGTGTGGTTGGAGGGCTAAGGTTTTAATCAAGAGGCAAATTTTGCATAACGTGGGCCTTGTGAACCACAGCCCCGTGTTCAGAAGAGCAACGAGAGCTGAAAACACTGACCTCTTGTGGTATTCTTTCCGGGAGTAATAATCCCTCCACACAAAAAAAAAGTTTGGTCACTCAATCTTTGTGGACCACTAGTGTGCAAAACTGGATGTCATGTTTCACCCACGAAACACGCAGTCAGTGCATTTTACAATATATCCTGTGAAGCACTTTGAGACTGATAAACCACTATATCAACGATGTGATAAGGCGTTATATCAAATGCAAGGATTATTATTAGTAGTAGTAGCATTATATTCTAAATGCAATCTGCATGGTACCGAATGTCACCTGACTCAAAGAAACACAGCAATTCAAGTGTGCTGGGCAGTGATTTAAAATAAGACAAAAATATCATTTCAGATCTACGTTTCACATGCCTCGTGCCCTTCTGGGGATATCTACGATATTTAAGTCTCTCGACTTAGATATCTAAACGAGGGAGAAGGAAATAGAAGGGTATGGGAGGCAGTAAGGTGTGGTGGGGTATAAACACCAAAGTGGACTAGTTGGGCTGAATGGCCAGTTTCCATGTTGTACAATCTATGTGAGTCTACGTAAACACTTGTGGCTGCTCAGTTTACTCTCATTTCCAAATATTGCTTCTCTCTCGTTAATAGTCATAAACTCCTCGTAAAACATTATAAGAATGTAATACAGTGGTCGGCGTCTTTTTTTTCCTCTAAACTAAACTTCGAAACTTCAACCCAAACTTTAAGGTCAAGCTGAACGATCAAAGTTCAATGCTTTGTTGCTGTCATGTTCACAACCTCACCGGGTGGGTGGGTCAGTGGCTGGTGGCGAAAACACCTTTCGCAACAAAGGCGCATTGATTTGCATCCATCGCCCAATGTTTTTCAAATAGCAAAGGCTTAACTCGGCAAAAGCAGATGAGGGGAAAGAGTTTGCACGGTCTGGAGAAACTTTTACAGAATATAGTCAATTCACTTTACAGTATATTTCAAATATATAGTTCACTTTACAGTACACTTTAAATATATATTAATACAACAGTATACTAACCAACTGAATACGATTTCACCAATCTACAGATTTAAGGTAATTACAAGTATACGTTTCATGCTGGCAACACTTAGGCACCATACTTATGTGGAGGGACCAACTTGCTCGTAAAGCTTCATTGAGTTCCACTTACCCTTTGACAACAATGCATCTTCCAGGGCCTGGCATTTGCTTTGTCTCTCCCTGCCTCTTCCAGACACACCTACCGCTGTTGGGATGCAGGCTTCAGAGGAACTGTGGGTTGCTTTCCTTCCCAGAATTGGCTGGTGTGATCTGCATTCTGGGAATTCCCTAGACCTTGATAAGTACTGGCTATAGGAAGAAATTCCCATGAGAGGCTTAGAAACGGTGTAGTTTCCATTGGCGTCTGGAACCACGGCAAAGTGTGTGGTGGCGCCGTTTCTTTGGACATAGTCTCTGCTGATGCTCTTGGTGACAGACCCTGACTGAGAAGATGCCTGGCAACTAAGGGGCCTGTCACAGAACCATAAATCACTGCCTGCTTCTGTGGTCCTGTTCTCTCCTGCAAAGATCAGTACAAAAATTTTTCACGTCAACTCAAAGCTGTTGACAAAGAAGCTGCCAGATACTGGCTCACAGAACTAAATCTAAGCAGTGCAGACACCACAAGAGCTGAGAATCGCTCCACATTATTATTATTATTATTAGATTATGCCCCAGCACCTTGGGATGTCCTCCCGACGTGAAAGACACTATAACAAATATAATTTGTTGTTGTTATGATCACAATGAACCCTTGATTCTCCCAGTGATTTTGGACGCACTCTTATAAGCCATCAGTTTCAAGCGTTTGATGAAAGCATGCAGAATCGAGCAGCAGATAGGAAAGCCCATCTATAAACAGATCAGATCACAATCAATGATTCCAGAATGTACAGGAAGTGATCGATGCGGAGTCAACCGCAGATCTCATGGTATTGATCGCAACGATGAAAGACTCACGGTTGATACAGCTCTGGTGGTGGTTGCACTGCTATTTTTTTTCACACACGTAGACTCCCCCACCCCACCCCAGCCCCTCCCCACCAAGACAAAAACAGTTTCATTTTAAATTTTTGTACCAATAAACATGCTTCACGTTGCAGGTTAATCAACGTGGTGATGTTGGGTGTTCATGGACCCTCACATTGTACAGCCTAATTCATCGCTCCTCGTGCCTAGGTGTTATACTGATGTAGTGTGCGAACAAACCCTGGATAGGCAGTCCTGGGGGCAGTGGGTGGCAAAATTGGTTGGTGGGCAACCTTGTCGCTTCTGGGGCAGGGTAGGAGGGGAGGGAGAAGAGATCAAGTCCAAAGGGATGGTATGATCTCCCTTCTCAAATGCAGGTGAGGGTCTGATCTGACTTCAATTTAGGGGGTTTAAACCTATTTTGAGTGGATGTCACTCCCACAGCGTAAAGCATAAAGCTGCCTGTAATTACATACTCCACTGATTCAGGTAGGCTAGTTTGGGAAATGGAACATTTACTTTGATGCGGTAGGAGGTACATTTCTGAAGACGGACTCAGGTGCACAGTTTGGGCAAATAAGAGGGACGCTGACACAATGCCTAAAATGCAAGTACTTAATTTCCCAGCACTGACAGAAACTAGAGGATATTTCTCTACACAATGGGTGCTTAGGATGTGGAATGTTTTATCGTAGAGTGAAGACTGAAAGACAAGGATGGCTTAAAACTTGACACAGGTAGAGTTGAATGAGACAAAGGGATATTGGTAAGATCATCGCTCCCCATGTCCAAATGGTATGAGGCAGCAACAAACAAAGCAAGCAGGATGCTGGGTGACATTGCCATGTCCCTTGAGCTCAGATCCTAATAAGTCATGTTCGAGGGTGTACAGTGCTCCAGTGAGGCCATGCCTAAGTACAGCTCTGGCTTCAATAGCACAAAGGCAGCAAAGAGGAGAGTGGTGAAGCCATTACCCAGTGGTAGAAGGATAAGCTATGAGAAAGAACCAGACAGCCAAGAGCTCCTTAACTTCAGAAGGAGATGATTGGGTGGAGAGATGGTCAACAGGCTAGAGCTTGTAAACTTGGAAAAATACCCTGAGGTAGCAGTACATGAGGGCGTATATTCAGGAGTGTACTTCAGCTAGACAAGTGTTATGCTTCACAGTTACCTTCACTTACTCGAGAGTGGACCTGTTACCTTTACAATTTCTGGTTCGTTCAAGCAACACACTGACAGTGTGATAACATCTCCTGTCCATTCACGCAGGTGACACCCTCCGGAGGTTTGAGGGAGTCACAACAAGTGTTAACCATGTCAGTTGGGTTCACAGGCTTTTTACCTCGGCGATTGCTCTGCCTGCGTATCACAGCTGGCATTTCGGGGAGTGTTTTACGATGCAGCCTCTCCCTGATCACGAGGCTCCGGTCAAGTTGGGTCGAGTTGCTGTCCTCGTGCTGTGTCTGCTTCGGCTGCAGAGGCAAGAAAATAATTTCTGAACCACAGCTGCAAAATGCCTTGTGGTTGCATGCCTGTGTACATACCATCACTCAATATTGAGCTGTCAGTTATCAGATCTCTGAAGGAAAACTATATTTGTGTTCAACAAGAGGAAAGGCCAGGGTTTACCTGACTGTGAAAAACATCACATGTCTCCAGAGTCGCTTCTACCCCAGAGAATCAGCCTGGCTCAGTTAGCTACGCTCTCACCTCTGGTTCAAATGGTTGTGGTTTCAAGCTTCCACATAGGAACTTGAGCTCACAATCAAGGCGAGTGCTCCAATACGGAGATGAACTCTGCATTGTCAGAGGCACCAGGGACCCGAAACCATCTCCCTGTTCAGGCGCTCATTGGTTATCTGGTGACACCATTCGAAAAGAGAACAGTGTTTCTCCTGGCCAACAGATCTCTGGATAAATGTGTCATTCGCCACACAGCTGTTTGTGAGATTGTATCGGGAGTTGATCCCGGTGCCCTGGCCAACAATCCCCCAAATAAAATTGGTCGCTCCCTCCATGGCTGTCTGTGGGACATTGCTGCGTGCTATTTTGGATGCTGTGTATTGACCACAAATTACAGTCACACGACTTTGCAGTTAAATCCTGCAAAGTGCTACGAGACATCTTGATTACATGATAAGGCTAAACCAATCCAAGGATAATTATTATAACTGACTGTACACAAAATAGCAGCTGTGGTTTGCCTACAAAAGCAACAAAAACAATTGCTAAACTTGATTGTTTACGGTGAATCACTTTAAGACCTTTTGACACAATCAGGCTACTTTAAAAAAAATTAAGTTCCTTTTTCTAACCTTCCACCCCCAAGCAGGACGGATATTTTGAGACCTGGTACTTATATAAACCTCAAAAGTTGAAGGCTGAGTTGTTCGCAGTGGGCTGTAATAAGTAGCAAAGGTCAGGGTTACCAGATATTCACTCACATTTTACTAGGGCCACTACCAACAAGCTGTGCATGGCACTAAGTATCACATTACAGCACGTCAACTGATTATGTATTTATCAACAAGACAACAGGGAACAAGTGTTACTTAATGGACCGTGCTTTCTTTTCCACTAATGGCATCTTGCGGTACATCAGCAGTCCGCCTGCAGCACTACATTGCTGATATTTATCCAGTTTAGCATTGAAAATAATGGAGCAAGCTCCCCTGATGAGATAGTGAGGATACCCAGTGAGCGGCTGAGTCAATACGGACTGTAAAGTTCCCCTGTTCAACCCCTGCTCTTTGCTGAGTTAGCTGATTTTGGTGTAATGCACAAAACTTGTTGTGAATATGAGTGAGAAAGGAATAGAAGGAAGGATTTGTGAGGGTGAGGAGTAGGAAGGGTGGAGGCTCATGTGAAGTATAAACATTGGTGTGGACTAGTTGGGTCGAGTGGCACTGTAGCACGTTTTATAAACGTCACTCAATCCACGACTGTTTGTGCGACAATTGCAATTGGCTGTCGCGTTTCGCCCACAAAATAAACAGTCAATTCACTTTACAGTGAAACACTTTGAGACGATTCGTAGACGTGATAAGGCGCTATATCAAAGGCAAGGATTAAATCATTATCATAATATTTAGAATTCTACCTTATCTTGGACTGAATTAAAAATGTTTGAGTTGACCTAGCCAAGACGCGACAGGAATCCACCCATGGACTAAATGAGCACCTTCAGGAGAGGAGGGCAGGAAATTACCAAAGACCAAAATATACAAGTGAGAAAAGAATTGGAAACAGTAACAGCAGGAGGGCTAGCCAAGAAATCCTTCTGTACTTCTCTCCTAAAATCCTGCTGTTTGTTTGTGTGTGATCAATGTGTCGCAAAATCATGGCAAGAGTGTTACCGTGAGGTGTTGCGTGAACTTATAAAGGAATGAATGTGAATGAGGAGTGTTGTTTTCAGCATGATATATGAGTAAGAGACCGGATGACGTTTGCACAAAACTGTGAGATTGAAAAAGTAAACCCAGAGAGAGAAAGTGATGTGGCGATATATTCCTTCAAAATGAGGGAGGTGCTGTGGTGCGCTGCAATGCTGTCCTGCGGGTGAGATGATAAACTAAAGGCCTGTGAAGTCGTGGCCCATTCACGTATTGAAATAGTTAGCAGCTAGAATTCATTTCAGTTAGTTTCCTTTGTGGACAGTGGTGTGGCATGCCCCCTACTGCTGACTTTAGGGAACTTGGCATAGACTGGGGGTCAGAGTTAACCCCTCCTTTTGGCTGCTGCCATTTATTAGCTGAGCTTTTCAGAGGAGCTATTTGAGAAGATCCGAAAGATCAACCGTGCACCTTGGCAGGTCAAGTTGATTGACATCATGAATATACAGTCACTACACTTTACAAAAAAAATCCTGTGAAATGCTTTCAGATGGTTCAATGATGTGATAGAGCGCTAGATCAAGTACAAAAAACGTTATTGTTATGATGAACCAGAACGTACATGGCTTGAATTACAGGGACACACTGCAAGAATCCCAATGAAGTCGCTGGGGATATGCACTCATTAACAGCACAGAGCTGGCCTTATCTGGCATCAGATTTTTATTTCCGAGGTTAAAAAGACAAAGAAATGCTGAGTGCAGTTTGGCACATCACAGCACTGTGTCTGTGAGCTATTTCAATGACGGAGTGTGGCTTTCATCAAAGTCTGCAAATAATTAGATTGATCTATTGCGTTACAAGAGCAGGCTCCTTTCTCATGTCGTACACTATCTCTTTACTGCAAACATATTAATACAAAGCCCAGATACTTCTGTTCGCAATTGCGTCGTCTTGGGAGTCAAAATATCATCCGTCATCTGGCAAAGAAGGAATCTTATTTTAAAAGCTAAATAAACAGGGAGAGAACTCCCAGGATAAAATCTCTCCATAATCACAGTTGACACACAACATTGTAATGTTCTGCTCTTTCTCTATCCTATTAGTACTGCAGTACTCCAGACATTGCTCCTTTGAACATTCCTCCCTTGTCCATCACAAACTCCAAACAATCATTGTAATCTTTTTTAGTCCAGTTGTAGTTTAGTGTTGCAACTCCTGTTTCAGGACTTAATGCTATGGATTTCTTTATATTTCCTATCTTCAATTGCAATCTCCAAGCTTGGCAATAGGTCACCACTACATCTAGCTACATCACGTAAGGATTATTATATCTTTAAATATATAATTAATATAATGTTTCAACTTTGTTTCCTTAATGAATATCTTTGAAATGCTAGCCCTGATCAATTAAGATTGTAAAACTAGTGGGAGTTTTGTTTTGTGGGAGATAAAGGCTCCCTTTATACCTTGAGTTTCTGAAGTGATTGTATTCAGTTCAGGTCAGTACAACCCAAACAATTCCATCCTTCCCACACCCTCTCCTGGAATTTATACCAGGTCACTGTGTGCAGCAGGAGCTAATAAATGGTGTGGACTATGCCTGGTACTGAGCTTTTATCTGCAACAGCGATCGCTCAATTTGACCAGCTCCTCCCCATCCCGAGGACACAATATGGCATGTTATTCTTCAAAGCAGGTCAGGGATTGTTTTCACTGGCACAACTGCTGCGATTCTATTGCACAACTGCAACAAATGCAGATTTGACCTCACACCCAAAATGCATTGGTGGGTCAGCGGAGAGAGAGTGGAAGTATTGTGCAGATTATTTTGCCTCCTGATCGCCATGAGAATCTGCCCACGTGAAAAATTTCGAAAGTGTGGTTGAGGATTGAATAGGTTGGGGGCGTAAACCAGCAAGGTACAAGGCGGCTCAAGGACAAGGCAACTGACAAGAGTAAGACAACCGCCTGCTGATCGACCGAAACAAAGAAGGGGGTGTTTTCATAAGTTGTCCCATGTTGTAAAACTAGTTTTATTGCTCTGTGAACGATTTAGTGCGTCCCCGAGACAGGAACCAATCCACTGTTTTAAACCCTTCTAATGTTCAGTGAATGTAGCAATCCCTGACTGCTTAATAATAATAATAATAATCCTTGCATTTGATATAGTGCCTTATCACATCTTCGAGACGTCTCAAAGCGCTTCACAGAATATATTGTAAAGTGAATTGCACACAGCAGTGTCCCACAAATAGTCGTGGATTGAGTGACCAAATTCTTCTTATTTTATTTTATTGAAGAGATCATTACCTCCTGAAAAGTAATCTGACAATCGACTAACAACGGGTTCCTACTTATTGCTGGGTAAACTGAGGCGCGTGGAGTAAGAAAAGTTGCTTAAGATTTCGCCCCGCCCAAGTCCTCTCAGTTCCAATTGTTGGCCAGGATACTGGAAGAAACTTCTTTCTCTATCTGAACAGTGTTACATTATCTTTGACATCCACCTTTTTTTAAAAAAAAAGGTAGATGGGACATTGCAGTTTGTTGAGAATCGATTTCAATGTTAAAAAAATCTCTGGCTGAGAAATGTGTTTGGGGTTTTAATTGTGTTGCAGTGAATGACAAACTGAAATTCATAACGGATATTTTGATGAAGAGTGTCCAGTGAACTGAGACTATTGGAATGGGCAGCCAGCCAGACTGGAGGTAATTCAATTGAACTGGGTTCTGCCAGGATCCAACCAGCTGAATAGAGATAAATGTAGAGCAGGGAAGGAGGCACGAATGCTTACCAACCTCTGCTTTGCTTCCAAGGACCTCTTTGACGAGTCTCCTTAGGTGCATGTCTGCCGGGGGGAGCCCTGAGCTTTGCTGGTGGGTTTTGCAGATGTCCAGAATGGTTTCCAATGGCACCCTCTTGTGGGCCAGGTCCTCACACATGCTCAGGAGTAGCTGGTTCAATAGGTCACTGAGCTGGATTGGCTGTCATGGGTACAAGAGAAAAGGTTAAGGAGTTGACACTGCTGTGCACAATTGGCTGCTGCATTTCGCCCACAAATACACAGTCAAATCACTTTAGAGTATAGTCTGCAAAGCACTTTGAGACATCTCAATGATGTGATAAGGCTCTATATCAAATGCAAGGATTATTACTATTATTAAGAAGAACACAAAAACTCAAAACTAACCTATTTGGAGCTTTATTCAATGGTAAACTAAGCCCGCAAAAAGCCCAGTTACCAACACCGGGAATGCTGAATTGCATATCAAGAAAAAGCAGGAGCACTGTGTTACATTTGATACCTCGACTGTGAGTTCAATCCTGACATGAGGAATGAACACACAACCTTCTGATCCGAAAGTGCAAACAACTGGTGCAGACCCAGACCTGCCGTTTCAATGGACACAGATTCTACCAGTTTCTTTGGTGAATATACTTGATGCGCCAACTCTCACCTGTGATTCAAGAAGCTGGTAGTCTGCTGCCCAGTACAGAGTCATTCCCAATGAGTACACGTGCATCTGGAAACAAACAATAAAGCTGCTGAAGTGTGTGCTATCTGTCCCCTGCAGAACATGACACTGAGACAAAGAGGTTCAACGTGTGATGTTCACTGATTCAAGCAAATAGTCATTCCACGTTTACAACAAGAACAAATTGCATTTGCACAGCGCCTTTCACATTCGGAGGATGACTTGAGTCGCTGGACGGTCAAGGATTTGAACCTGAGCTGGAGGGTTGGGAATCAGGAGGGGTGGAGGGCAGGGAGGTTAGGGGCAGGAGGGTGATCGAAGGCACAGTCAAAGAAGAGGATCGAGACGGGCCTTGAAAAAAGCATGGGAGGGGGCGAGGCAAAGAGACAGTGGGATGGAGTTCCAAAGAGTAGGGGAAGAAAGGCTGAAGGCCTGACTGCCAATGGTTGCCGGGCCAGGTGGGGTACATGGAGCAAGCTGGAGCCCACTGACGGAGGGAGCAGACAGGTCTGTGAGAAGGAAGAGCTCTCTAGTGTTCGTGTTAGAGCCTAAGATTCTGAGCATCTGAGCTTATCTTAAGGCTGTTTCTACACAGCCAGAATAATGTAAACACAACGCCTCGTGTACTGTCATACGCAAGCACATTTGTTTCTGGGTCCAGGTCCCCATCCATATAGCTGGCTCCGGTTTCTACTCCAGAGGTCAGAGGAAGCCAACTGGACAGTCTGTGAGCTGATCTTGCTGGTGGCTGTTTGGTGGAATGTTGCTTTGTGCAAATTAGCTGCCGAGTTCATTTACAAATACATGGTCACTCCACTCATAGTTTATCCTGTGAAGCGTTTTGAGGTGTCCCGATTGCGTGACAAGGCTCAATATCAAATGTGAGGCTTATTATTTTCTATGTGAAGTTTACAGCTATCTGCACCTTTCAAGTGCTTCTGAGGCATCCTCACGACGTGAAAGGCGCTATATGAATGCAAGCTGTATTGCACGTTGTACTGTATTTATCTGTGACAGTTCTGAGGAAATGTTCGAGGACAGTGATCTACGTTGGAATAACATTAGAGCCTAATGTTGCTGCATGATGCTGTTCACAAGTGGAACCGGGAAAGCTTCTTTGCATAAAAAATCCATTGACATTGCAAAGGGTGGTGCGGAGGGGCAGCAAGTAGGTAGTGGAGAAAATCAAAGCTTTCCTCTGCCCTTTGCCCATTTTGCACTGGTGGGGAGGTGGTGGGGGGAAACCTGGCAACGCAGACTGCATGCAGAATTATCAAACCCGAGAGCTTTTCAGCTAATCCGTCTAATTTAGATAAAGCCACTATGCCGCTGTGATTAGCCACAACAGCTTTTTGTGTACTGAGCTGCACCGTTGCCAAGGCAATGGGCGGCCAGTCTCGGCTTGAGTTGAACATCTCCTATTTCTTTTGATAGTGAGAAACCATTGGAGACTGTGAGTTCCTGAGCGCTCCCAGCTTCCATTCATAAATCGCCCACAGTGAAGGAAGCTCTCTCTCTCTCTTTCTCTCTATCTGACTATCTCCTGGTTATTTATTTTGAAAAGATCTTTCATTTGGTTTATCTTTTCACGTTTAGAGTTTTCAATCATTTTGTTTTCCCCTAATTTTCTCCCCTCCGGGCAGGTTGGTCTACCAAATACACAATCGCTGCACTTCTGGTTAGTGCACTCATCTCGCAAGCGAGAGGTCCCAGGTTCGATTCCCGGGCAGGGCAAAACCTTAGGCAATTTTCCTTGCTCCACATGCCTATGTTTACCCAACAGTAAGTAGGAACCCAGTTGTTAGTCGATTGGTGGATCGCTTTCCGGGGTTAAACACCAAGAATCCATGATACCTTGGGGAACACTGTTTTGCGCAATTGGCTGCCATGTGTCGCTCAAAATATACAGTCAATCCACTTCACAATATATTCTGTGAAGCACTTTGGATTGTCTCAACAATGTGATAAGGCACTATCTCAAATGGAAGGATTATTATTATCCTGTGAAGGACTATGAGGAGCCTTGAGTCGTCCTCCCGAGATGAAAGGCTCTACATCAAATGCGAGGATTAAGATCTGCCTCTGTGCTCCTGGTCTCCAGATTTTTCATACCAGGTTGCAGTTCCACGGGTGTTGATAGAGGGCATCGCAGCCGAGCATGGCATTTCCTCACCCGGCTGCCACGTACGCTCACAACCAGTCGAAGGTGCGATACAGTGATTGGAGCAGAATCCACTGTTTTATCCCTCCACAACACTGGAAAGATTGGAGCCAATTTAGCCTCCACATGTGGCACCACAAGAGACCAGCAAACCCAGCATGGACCAGGATTTCAATGAGCGAAGTCTCTTCGTCTATAGGCTGCAGCTCCATCCACTACGCCACTGGGGCTGCCCTCAATTTGGTTTATCTTAATCGACTCTGACAATACAAATGCCAGCGCTCAGGAGGCAAAATTCGGCCCAGACTTCAAAAATATGAGATCACAGTGAAAGAGTTGGTCGGGTTTAATGGGACAAGTATTTAAACATATAAAAATGAAAAATGGGATTAATAAAAAAAATGAAGAGGCTGATTTAGTGATATAGGAAGCAGTAGAACAGCCTTGAAAGGGCTGAATGGCTTCCGTCTGCGCTATTCCTCTAAATAAAAACTTGATGTATAAAGATTGAGTGCTTTTTGAAAGGTCCTTGAAAGGTTATCATTCCTTTAAAAATGATTTGAGACACCCGAGTGCGATTTCAGACATTGGTTTCTGACGGCTGGGCTAACCCAAAGAAGCATATTGCATCTTGCATTAAGAGGTTCCAAGTCCTGACAGTTTGGTCCTGACATCGGGCCAGTTACTTAAATCTGTGATTCCAGGCTGGTGTGGAAAGTGGGTGAGCAAGAAAAAGGATCTAATATTCACACCATCCTTACTACCCTGGAGGGTGAGATCAAATGGGCCTTTAGGTCTTCCTCATCTGAACCTCCCTCGTTATCTTACAAGAATAATAATAATATTTTTATTTCCTTATTTTTTGGAAGGGATCGTTAATCCAGGAAAGCGATCATCCAGTCAATTTACAACCGGGTTCTAATTTACTGCTAGGTAAACAGAGGTGTGTGGAGTAAGGAAACTTGACTAAAGTTCCGCCCTGCCAGGGAATCAAAGCCAAGTCCTCTCTCTCGCGAGGGGAGTGCTCTAAACAATATTCTACTGGACTCCACAACCCAATGTGTAGGTTGGGGAACAATTTGCCTGGATAGTTGATGTAAAATGCCGTGAACACAAGTAAAGAGGACGAAACAAAAGACAAACTCTTCTTTGTGCTTAAATCAGTGTACTTAACAAACAAGCACAATGGGCCTGCCTGACCCGCACGCTTTTTACCTCCTGTTTATTGGAAGAGAAAAGCACCCGACTGGATTGGAGTCTGCCGGGTATCATGAATCCCACAGACATCACGGTTAAAAACAAATAAATGACGATTTGTTTGCAAAAAGGCAACAACAGCAAAGCCCGTTTAAATCATATGTTCCAAGTCTCAGTCCAAGCTGTGGAATTCAGCGAACAAAAGCATGTGCATTGACCCCTCATTATTCCACAGCATTTTGGGTTGCAGCCAATTGCTTCATGACAACGGAGACGAGGGAGGAAGGGAGGGAGGGGGGGCATGTTATTTACCAGGTGCATTCATTTCAGCCTGTGATCCAAATTCAAGAAAGTCTCCTTTTATTGAGCGGTTCACCAACAGGTAAAGGTCTCCTTTTATTGGGCTGTTTCACCAACATTCAAAACAGCATTTACCATGGGAACAGGCTTGCTCTCTCTCTCTTTCTCTCATTAGAATGCATTTCTCGCCCTCTCCTACCCGCCATGCTAATGAGCATTGATGAGAGCGACCACCTTTTACATGTGAACAATGCAAGCGGCTCAGATCAGGGAATAATGGTTTTGTCAATTCTTGCATTTGGTACAGCGCCTGTAATGTCAAAATGCCTCAAAGCCCTTCACAGGTAATTGCCATCAAGTGCAGTGTGCTCAGCAATATCCCCCAAGCACTCATTGAATGCTTAATTTCATGTGAAAAATTGTGGGCCAGATTAACAGAAAAAGCTCCCTTCTCTTTTCGAATAGTGCCATGGGATCCCACAGCTGCAGACAGGACCTCGATTTAACATCTCATCCAAACTCACACTCACGTCTCGAAGACACGATAAGGAGCTACATCAAATGCATGGATTATTATTATTATACCGCACCTTTATAAGAATAATCCTTACATTTGATATAGCGCCTTATCACGTCGTTGAGACGTCTCAAAGCGCTTCACAGAATACAATGTAAAGCGAATTGATTGTATATTTTGTGGGCAAAACACGGCAGTCAATGGTGCACAACGGGGTCCCACAAAACAGTCGTGGACTGAATGACCAAATTATTAGTATTATTTTTTATTGAGGGATTATTACCCCCAGAAAGCGATCTGCCATTTGATTAACAACCAGGTTCCTACTTACTGCTCGGTAAAAAGGTTGCATGTGGAGCAAGGAAACTCGAACCCAGGTCCTCTCGCTTGTGAGGCTAGTGCTCTAACCAATATGCTATGGGACTTTTCACATAGTTAAACAACTCAAAACACTTTGTAGAGATGGAGTGGGAGCTCGAACAGGGTGTGAGATGGGGGAGGTTTTTTTTAGAAACAGAGAACAAGTAGAAAGGTTCCACTCACCTCGGGTGTACCCAGCTGTGAGTTGGATCCTCGCCCCTGGAGCACTTCAGGTGCAGTAAAGGTGTAAATCTCCGCACCTGAAAGATTGCTTCGGAAAGATAAAGCACCAGTGGATGACAGGAGCATCGACCAGGGGCAGATAATGTAGCTCATGGTAACATGGACAGCATCTGAAAAGTGATGGCCAAAATGCAAAAATCAATCACTTTAGCAAGATAAAGTCACGTTTCTTTTTTATGTAACTTATGTTCGCTCCTGGCCAATTTTCAACTCTACTAAATGTGCTTTTGGTACAGAATTGAAGACTGCACAGACCAGGGGGTATGATTTAAGTGGGGCTGAATGATCTGTTATTCGTGCTATATCATTCTGTGTAATTCTAGATAAATTTTGTGCACAACAGTTTAAGATGCTGTTCCTCAGCGCACTCAGGCTTCAAACAGATATTTTCTGTGCTAGAATCATAGTCCTGTAGCACAGTGGTTAGCACGCCTGCCTCACAAGCGAGAGGACCCAGGTTCGATTTCTGGGCAGGGTGAAACCTTAGGCAAGTTTCCTTATTCCACACGCCTCTGTGTTACCTAGCAGTAAATAGAAACTCGGTTATTCGTCAATTGGCGGAATGCTTTCCGGGGGTAATTTCAGCGCTTTGGGACGTCCTCCCAGCGTGAAAGGCGCTCTATAAATGTAATTTTGTTGTTGTTGTTGTAATCCCTCAAACAAACAAGTAAATAAATAAATTTTGGCACTCAATCCACGACACTGCAGCGCGCAGTTGACTCCTGCATTTTGCCCACAAAATACACAGTCAATCCATTTCACAATATATTCTGTGAAGCGCTTTTAACGACGTGATAAGGCACTATATCAAATGCAAGGATTATGAAGGATTATTATTACAGATACTTCAGAACACACAAGGAGGCCTTTTGATTGACCCATCGTATCTGTGCTGCAACTAGCTTCCTCACGGGAGCAAATGACCTCATCTGTCCCTGATCTTTCTTCATGCTCTTGGATATTCTTCCTCAAGTATTTATCCGATTCCTTTTTTAGTCACTGCATAATCAATCATTTGAAAAGGAAGAATGGACAAAGGCCACTGGGGAATGCAGACCTGTGGGACGAAACGGAGAGCTCTTACAGAGAGCTGGCTCAGGCACCATGGGCTGAATGGCCTTTTTTCTGTCCTGAAATATTCTAAGGTTCTGTGAAATGACAGGCTCCTTTAAGATTCAACTCATAATCTCTAGCTGCAGATGGCTGATGGCAGCTCCTCTTTCTAACATTCAAGCTTCCCAGTTGCTGCCCAGCAGGGTCTGAACCAGTCTCCGAAGCAACACAGCTGCTCCCCATTCAACCCATTTCACATCTCCGCACCACAAACTGTGGGGCTCCAAGATTTCAGAGAGAGAGGAGATGAGCGTAGTGGGGAGGGAGAGAGTTCTTCCCAGGCAGGATATTAAGAGCACCATCAGGAGAAAAACTGGGTTGAAAAACTGCATGATCCTCAGGCCAGATTATACCTAGAGAGCCGTGTACAGTACTGGTCGTTGAGCTGTCCAGGTCCAGTGCAAGTTACTGGTGTTGTTGACCTAAAGGCAGTGCAGAGGAGAGGAGCCAGGATGATCCCTAGTGATAATATAATAATAATCCTTGCAGAACAGTCCCGGATTGAATGACCAAATTATTCTTATTTTTTTAAGGGATTATTATTAAGGAAAAGTGATCGGCCTTTCCCCCGAAGCCAGTATTTGAGGAATGAGCAATTAGACAAACTAGGACTCTTCAGTCTTAATAAGAGGCCTCATAGAGAATCCCATAGAGATTTTATAATTAAAACCCCAAAACAATACTTTCAGATGCACCAAGACAGCAAAACAAGAGGACACAGGCTTAGGGTTGCAAAGGGCAATTTCAGGAGCGACACCAGGAAATATTTATTTACCAACAAGAACAGGTTACCATTTATGGTGGATGAGGCCAGAAAAAAACCATGCTGTTATGGGAGGGTATTCTGGAAGGATGAGATCAAATAGGCTTAATAAATGTCTTCTTCATCCAAACTAACCTGGTGACTATGTGATGTCCAGAAGGCTGCTATTACCTGCTGATGTCTATCATTCAGAACCACGATGAGGGAGAGACGCAAAAATTATAAAACAAAGCCTCTTCCCCTTCACGTCGGGGGAGGGGGGAAGATTCAGACGTGTGTCGCAGTGACTCACTTGTGAACACTGGAGTTCATGCACGCAATGAGGTATCAGCTGGCCAGATTGCAAATTTTGACGAGATGTTGATTAATACTGGCAAAAAGTCATCACCTATACATCGTTGCCTCAATGGATTGGGAACCCTTGATTTGCACCGGTATCAGTCAAGCATCTAAGTCACAATTCAATGCCTTACGGTTGGAAATACTGCTTTAAGCTTGCACTTGTGGCCTGAAATTCCACCTAGCGCTAGACTATTTAAGTCCTCGCAGAATTTAGGAAAATTCTTGAATCCACTCTTAGTTTAGGAGCTGTTTCTCTTTCTAAGAACTAAAACTTTTTAAAAATCGGGTTAACAAGTTAAGTCTGGGTTTAAAAACGTTCCCACAACTCTGCATCATCTTGAACTTTGGGACTGCGAGACTTAAAACTTATCCATTCGAATTTTCAAGACTAAGACGGATAGATGTTTATTAGGTAGGGGTATCAATGAATATGGGGCAAAGGCCCATATTCCTCACTGGAGTTGAAGTATAGATCAGCAATATCTAATAGAATGGTAGAACAGGCTCAAGGGGCTGAATGGCCTTTTCCTGTCCCTATGTTCCTATGACTAGGCGGAATCCTTTAGTCTGTATGCTGTTGATGTTACACAATTTGCACAAGTGAAGTATGTTATGCATATTCAAATGTATTTCTGGGAGGGTGACAGCACTTTGCTGAATCAAACCTATATTTCATAAGTATTTTATAGTGCTGTCCTCTCCAGGAGCCTTTGTTTAGAAGACTGTCTTGCTGCTCTGATAGTGTGGCCGAGACACCATCAATCAGTTGGCGTGTCCTCCCAATGCAGACACTGATAATAATAATAATAATCTTTGCATTTGATATAGCACCTTATCACGTCATTGAGACACCTCAAAGCACTTCACAGTATATACTGTAAAATGAGTTGACTATATTTTGTGGGTGAAATGCAGATTACCAGTCTCCTTTGCCTCAAGAACAACATCAACTTCATTTCTAATCATTTCTGATCAGTTTTATTGTGTGAATCCCTTGGTTTTACATGCAAAGTGATGAGGAAATGCAGCTTATTGTTTCTGACAGCCTCTTTTCTCTTGTCGTTTATCCTTTAGTTGCCTCTGCATAACACCGAATGCAATGCTGGGGGGATGGGATGAGTGTTTGCATCATGCTCTGGTCGTATAGGGCAGAGGCTCAGTGAATGCAGCTCATTAAAAGGGAACAATGAATAGATGTTGCTTCTGCTGTTCTGCCAGACAACTAGCATGTAGCTTCCACTTCCTGGATTGCTCTTTGCTGTGTTTCCATTTGTACATCGTAGAGAATGGTAGATACCAGACATTCTAGGGCCTATTCAGCTACATAAGCTAGTTGTAGCTCCAGTTGCCTAATTGTGCGACAGGGAATCATTATTGATGAATTGTAACCCTGCTCTCCTGGGGGAACCTTTGACGGTCTTTTAATGAGCGGCTAAAAAAAGAAGGTTCAACGCGGAGGGTGGATGGGGGCGTGCTTATTTACAGCATTGGGCCTGGCTTTCAGTGGTTTGGCATGAAAACAGTACTGGAATAATGGGGCTCCTGCAACTCTTGTAGGTCACCTGCCCTGAGTCAGAAGGTCGTGGGTTCAAGCCCCACTTGTCTAAGCTGTGCAACACGCTCCCATCTTTGGATGAGACATTGAACCAAGGTCCCACCTGCCTGTTGAGGTGGACATTAAAGATCGCATGCCACTATTCAAAAAGGGAAGGGAATTTCTCCCAGTGTCCTGGCCAACAATACCCCAGATAAAATTGGTCACTCACGCCATGGTTGTTTGTGGGTTTTTGCTGTGCGCAAGCTGGCTGCCACCTTTCACCCACAAAATACAGTCACTCAACTTTACAGTTTATCCTGTGAAGCTCATTGAGAGGTCTCAATAATGTGGTAAGGCACCACATCAAATGCAAGGATTATTATCATTATTATTTAGCGTATTATATTACAATAACCTGCAAGCAGATGGGTGTGCTCGCGGTCACTGCACTGTCACTGGTCAGCGCCTTGGGACGTCCTCCCGACGTGAAAGGCGCTTAATAAATGGAATCTTGTTGTTGTTGTTATAACTCATTGTACAAAACATTCAAGACGTTCAGATGCGATTCAGTGTCGTGCTTGCTCCAGATCTGGGTTAGAATGCAGAGAAAGAGCTTCACTGGTCTCCGAGTCCAGTCCTGCTCCTAATTCCCTGTTAATCACTCAAAGCTTCTGTGCCAGCCTGATCTTCCCATTCATATAGTGCTCCCATTCCTGCAGTTTTTATCAAAGGCACAATTTCCACTATCGCCCTCAGCCCAAATATTGTTATATCAGTTCCTGCTGCCTGTGTGAGTCTGAAATGACACAATTCCTTTACATATATAATGGCTTCTCACCCCTTGCTTTGCACACATCATCATTTGTGTTAACAAAGTAATCTATTAATAATTTACCCGGCTGCTTGTTAAATGCCTCTGCTCCTTAAGAAAAGAAAATGCTGTAGCAGTGTGGTGTGAACAATACAAATTCTTTGTGGTAGAAGTCAGCATGTGTATTCCAGACCTGTCCAATGGTGTGGCGAACACACTAAACGGTGGTAGTGGGGGGTGGGAGGGGGCAATGGAGGAGTGGAGATGGTCGAAATGGGGGAGTTGAGGTGGTTCATACCTCCCCAATTCCACAATACGAGAACCAAATCCCAACCAATCAATGTAAAACAGGCTCGGGGAGCTGAATGACCTCCTCTGCTCCTGTTTTCCTGTGTTCCATAACAGAAGCACCATCCGGCCTAGAGTCGAGGAATGAGAACTCAATTGTGCCCTGTTGTAAAGGAAAACACCTCCGCAACACATCCCATGGCTCTTGGTGCTGCAGAGGCGACCCACATTTTCACCAATGGCATTGATTTCATAGGGACATGTTTCATGTTTGTATGCACAGTTTGTCTATAAGTCACAGTAGGTGGTTTAATTTCGTCGTCGTTGTTGTTTCATTTCTGGTCATCCAACACTGATTCACAGCGCAATACCTGGTGCTTATTCACGGATAAAAATTATATCATGGGTCTTGTGCTGTGAATCAGTGTTGGCAGCCCTGCCCTCTGACGGTTTATAGTTTATAGTTTGGCTGAAATTTCTATGGACGGATTAGACAGTAACCTAATTAAATACATTGGAACTAAATTGTCACCTGACTATTATTGCTCTAAGCAGGAACTATAAAATATAACAATACTCCTTGTGTTCGATATGCACCTTATCACGTTGAAACATCTCAAAGCTCTTCACGTGGTTTTTCTGTAAAGTGTAGCGACTGTAAAGTATTTCGTAGGCAAATGCAGCAGCCGATTTGCATGCACTAATGACCCATTAACAGCCAGGAAATGAATGATCCATTTTATCTCGGGAATTGTTGGCCAGGAGACCAGGAGAAACTCCCTCCAGTTTTCCAATAATACCATGGGATCTTGAACGTCCATCTGAACAGACCTTGGTTTAACGTCTCATCTGAAGGAGCGCGCCTCTGACAATGCAATGGATTCAGTGAACCTCAAAGGAACTTACCTTGTGCTGTCGTCTTCTGCAAGACTTCGGTGGCCTGTTGTAACAAAGCCCAGATTTCATCCTCCCCGAGAGGGCCTGCCCTCTCCTTCAGAATCTCAACCAGAGTCACAAAGCAGTTACTCATAGCTGAGCTGAGAAACCCTGCAAAAGAGAAGCAAAGAGAAATAAACATGGATGCCACTGTAAAACTTCCCCAGATAGGACCCAGTTTGTTCCTCTTATCTGACTGCACCTTCCACATAGCAAACAATTTGGGCTGCTATTGGAGTTAAGCCATGATTGGACATATGACTACAACTCACAAGATTGGTTCAGATAATGAAGGCCCTTCGGCCCATTTGATGTTGTCCTTCCAGAACACCCTCCCTACCTCCCTCTCATCACTGCATCAAGCTGTTTCTCAGTGTGGAGTGCTCTGATCCCAAACTCCCTTCCTGGGAAAACACTTAAGACTATTTATTATCCTAGGCGTGAAGAAATACTTCCTCGTGTCTGCACTAAACTTGCTCTTCACACCCATGAACCTTTGGCTCTTGTCCTGCCTCTTGTCCTCATGTCTTGTCGATGTGTCTGAAAGTGTTTGGAGATTACATGATACATTCTGGTTAACATCCGATACACCTCCGTAGGATCTTACATACCTCCGTAAGAGCCACCTCCTTTCAAGGCTGTAGAGTCTTAGTTTAACTTGTTGTTCCTTGTAGCTCATGTCTATAACACGTGAAATTGGACTCATTTCTCTCCTGTGAAGCACCTCTAGGACCCTGGCAACATTCCTTTATACTGCAGGGACCAGAAGTGTTTGCTGCTGTAAGATAACCCAGCATTTGCTATTTTGGTAACTTACTCTAAACCTTGTAGCTCGGACTCACATTTAAGTGCGTTGCTCATAAATATGCACTTATACCTTTGGAGGCAATGTTACCAGACTGCCTCACTGGTATTACTCAATCACTAAGATCATCAATTATTTAGTCCTTCAGTAAGCAACTGATCAGTGAGTCAGGATTCATTGGTCTGCAGCTCTCCATCTAAGCATCAGCATTCAAGCCGCTGAAACACTAGAAGCCGCAGACCAAACCTGCGTATAAATAGAATACCCAAGGTTTTTTTCCACATGTATTTCTAACTGCAGCAAAGGTTCAGACATTTCTGATGATTTGAATCCTCCACACTGAAACTACTGCTTTTAAGTTTATTTTGATCTGGCTCCTGTAAAAGAAATAATTTTGTTCTCTTCCACACACACAGACACACATCCCCCCACACAACACCTTCCCCCGGTCCGTGCAGAGTGAGCTGATATCAGTGAGAGTGAGGAGGCACTGGATTCCTTGAGCTGGCTTTAGTGTCTTGAACTTGGAAGGGAGAAAATTATTCTCCTTGCATTTGATATGAGCGACTCATGTCGTCGAGTCATCTCAAAGTGCTTCACAAGATTTTACTGTGAAGTGTAGTGATTATGTATTTGCGGGCGATCGCCACCAACACTCAGACCAGAACTCTTTCGTCAGCAAGGCTCGCCCATTTCAAACAGAAAGAAAATCCTCAAATCCTAAAGTGACTCATACAAATCCCCACTAGCTGCAGCCAACTCCTTACTGACATACGGCACTGAATATTTTATTGCAGCATAATGAAGACAATGTAGTGTTTAGAAGCAGAGCATCCAAACTGTAGCATACAGTAGGTCTCCACTTTAGCATAGTGCGTAGGTATGTGTCATGATTCATGTGCTAAACTAGAGAATAATAGAACTTGTGCAATCTCTTTTTGAACAAAGGTCCATTATTTTTTATATTAGTAGTGGGTCTTACTTCATTTTTTAATCAAGACAGAGTCTAGTGCATTGAAACCTTGAGGCATCTGCAAATGGTCAGTAAAGTCAGAATACATCACCTTATTACATTGTCGAAATCTCAAAATTGCTTCCTAAGATTTTACTGTAAAGAATAGTCACACAAGGATTTATAATTTGTCAGTGAATGCAGTAGCCAGCTTGTGCATATAGCAATGTCCTACAAACAATCGTAAAGGGAATGACCACTTTTACCGGCAGGATTGTTCAGCTGGAAACCAGAAAAAATTCCCTCCTATTTTTGACAAGCACCTTGGGATTTTTACATCCACTTGAAAAGGCAGACAAGGCTTTGGTTTACACTGGAACATAGGAATAGGAATAGGCCATTCAATTCCTCGAGTCTATTCTATTCTATTAAATCATGGCTGATCTGTACCTCAACCCCATTTACCCGCCTTTGCTCCAGATACACTTATCTAACAGAAATCTATCGACTCAGTCTTGAAAATTTCAATTGATCCAGCACTCACATGGCCTTTTGGGGGAGAGTGTTCCAGATTTCCACTACCGTTTGTGTGAGAAAATACTTCCTGATTTCATTCTTAAATGACATAGCTCTACTTTTAACATTATGCCTCCTTGTTCTAAAGTCCCCTAACAGAGGAGATAGTTTCTCTCTATCCACTCAATCTAATTTTGCTTATTGCCATCTCATCCAAAGGACGACACCTCCAACAAGGTAGCACATGATTGTCAGCCTAGACAACGAGCTTGAAATCCCAATGTGCTGCTTGAACCCAGAATCTTCTGACCCAGAGACAAGAGAGAGCAACCAACTGAGTTCCGCTGTCACATGACGGTATCAAAGGGAGTGGGCACAAGACAGTGAGTAGAGTTATCAAGATCCTCTTTCTATGAATTATCATGTCAGTGTCAAAAACCTCCCCTCTCCCTCCCGCCACCCCCACCATGAACCACAGCTGTACTGTTAGAAGCCTTGTAGAAGTGCAAATGTGTTTTACTTGCTCGTGATCTGCCTCTCCAGTACTCCACACACCCACATCGAGTGGATTATTCTGGCTCACCTCTGCTCGTTGCATGGGTTTTTTCCAAGTCTGGCCGCCCAGTGTGTTTGGGGTGAGCTCTATCCTCACAGAACCACAGAAATTTACAGCTAATTTACAGACGAAATTTACAAAAGAAGGCCATCATGTCATCAAGGACTATCGCGTCTGTGCTGGCTCATTGAAAGAACAATCTATTCAGTCCCATTTACATATCTTTTCTTCTATACCCCTGTAAATTCCTCCTTTCAAGAGTGAATGTTGGCCAGGACATGCAATATAATTCAGGAAAAATATATGTAAAATCAGAGGATGCCACATTGATCTAAGATGCTGCAAATTCTCTTCATTATTTGCTAAGTTCCACTAAAAGTGTTGTCACAGCAGCAAGTAATTGATCTTTAGAACAAAGGTCAAAGAAAACAACAGACACCTGCAATACAAATGGCATTTGTATCCATGCATGAGAATACATTGCCACAATTGTGAACTATAGGCTTCACTATCATGTTAATTTGAAAATAAATAAATAATAATAATAATCCTTGCATTTGAGATAGCGCTGTTCACGTCTTCTAGAATTCTCAAAGCGCTTCACACAACATACCGTAAAGTGAATTAACTGTATATTTGTGAGTGAAACACAATAGCCAATTGTGCACAGCAGTGTTCCAGAAACAGTCATGGATTGAAGGGACCAACTTATTATTATCTGCATGTGGGGTAAGGAAACTTGCCCAAGGTTTCTACCTGCTGGGAATCGAACCCAGGTCTCTCACTTGCGAGGCGAGTGCTCTAACCGCTGAGCTACAGGACTCCACAACGAGGAAAACTAGGGAATATAGATAGGACCCCAACCAAGGGGCTAAGATTTATGTGGGTTTAAGCCTCGAGTTGAAACTTTGAGCTCATAGTCAAGGCAATCTGTGTGGGAGGGGTGTGGGTGGGGGATCTCTGTCTGACTCCTTACTGACCTGCTACACCAAGACCAATTGTATTGCCTCCACAGTAACTCACAGGTTGAGATCAGTAAACTCAGCGCACAATGAGAATCGAACCTCCAGTTCAGTGACTCACTAGTTAATCTCACTGAAACTGTAGTTATAATTCAGGAACTTACTTTTACCATTCTGATGATCTTTCAAACTATACGAGTCCTAATTGCTGTTCACAATTGGCTGCCACGTTTTGCCCGCAAAATACACAGTCAATTCACTTTACAATATATATATTCTGTGAAGCACTTGAAGACGTCGCAACGACATAATAAGGCAGAAGAATTATTATTTTTATTAATAATCACACCTTGCTAAAACCTCTCCAGTATGTGCTGATATAATTCCCTTTAAATGCCCCGAATTGACTCTGCTCCCACAGCCCACGTTGCCAATTCATTCTGTGCCATGAATCAGAATCTCTCCCCCCTGAGCCTCAAACAGCAACAAAGTGAATGCCCAATTTTACCTTGGGGATCGTTGGGCAGGACACTGGGAGAAACTTTGTCCTCTTTTTGAACAGTGCCAAGGGAGCCTTAACATCCAGGTGAATAGGCAGGACCTTGATTTAATGTCTCAGCTGAAGTACAATGCAGCACTTATGCAGACCTACACTGGAGTGTCAGCCTATATTATTGAGTTTAAAGTCCCATGTGGGGACTTGAACCCACAACCTGCTGACTCTGAGGCAAAGGTCCACTGAGCTAGACTGACACCCAAGGGCATCATAGTGCTAAAATTTGTATTCTTAAACTACAGGTAGAAGGGAGTATTGAAAGACATAGGAGTTGCACTCGTGTTATTCATAGTCATAAGAGGATGGAAGAGAATCAAGAAGGTAAACATGAGGAGATGCTGTTTGCTGGAGCAAATGGTTAGAAAAACAGTCACTGCTTGACAGTAATTACCTATGAAACATTTTCAGACAGGATCGAATGCAATCTTTCTACCTATCGTTACAGAAAAATAATGTTCATCAGTCAAACAGTTACTGTTTACATGACTTGAGTGCCACAGTATTGATAATACAATAGAAAATGATAATCTTTGCATTTAATATTGTGCCTTATCAAGTTGTCAAAATGCCTCAAAGCGCTTCACAACAATTTTTCTATTACTATTTTTCTGACACGGATGTTCTTAAAGAACCCAGCTAAAGATTGCCACCTTAAGATTTGATTCCTCCTCCCCTTTCACAAAATATTATTAATAAGAACAAACTTACAGGTATAGGAAAATCAGAGACTGAATCAAACGTTGGAATTCACGAATCAG